GAACCTTCCCAATCTACGCTTCGAAAAACACGTACTTGCTCGCCAGACCAATTCGACTCGCACAGTCTCGTCTTTGAGGGAAAAAAAGCGATCTAGTGTACACGTACTCCACGGTGAAAAACCTGTCCTCTAATGGGGGGCGTATCGGCGAGAGGGCGGCTCCTCAATTACGCGCTAGAACCTGAGGTGTCTATTATTGCTTATCCCGACTTGATCGAAGAGAAGACAATTGTGAACTTTGAAAGCAGTACGAGGAGTTATAGAAATAGATAGAATTTAACAAAAAAAAAACCCCCTCCCTTATCTATTCAGTTTGACTCGACAGAAGATAGAGGTATATAGAAGCTCAGTCTGATATGCTTTGGAGGAGAAGAAGCATCGCTGCAAGAAATACGACTGTTTCTTTTTTCTTTCGTAGCTGCTGCGACCGGGGGACAAAGTACAGTCAAGAGTTTAATTCCGTAGCTTGTATGTAAGTGCTCTCATGCAAGCAAGGCTGATCTCGTCTCATCTCATCTCATATCATCCGTCACCAGTCAGTGATAGCTCCCCGGCCCTCCCTCTCCCTCTCACTGTACTCTGCTTCCCGTCCCGTCCCGTCCACTCACACCGTAATCTAATCCAACAAGCTTTACAGATCCAGGTCCTCTTGCGCGTCATGCCACACTAGGCCCTCCTCCGGGCTCGAGACAATGGTGCCAATGCTACAAAGTCTCTTGGTGCGATCCAACTCCGGCGAACTGACCGGCTCCTCCTCATCCACAAAAGTAGGGCTCTCCATATCCTCGGCTGCTCCCTCCCCATCATCTTCCACCACAATCGTGTCCGCCGTGCTCAGTCGACTCGACGAGACCATCGTATCCGCAGTGCTATCTCGCCTCGGCGCTCGAGTCCTGTGGTGGCTGTGCACCATCGTTCGCGTCTCGAACTCCTTCTCTAGCACCGTCGGCGTATGGATAGGGATGGTAGATCCGGATGGCGGGTGAGAGACGAGATCGATCTTGGAGAGCGGCCACTCGTGGTTGATTTTTGGGAAGTGGTTGGCGGTAGAGTTGAAGAGGAATGGTTTGAGAGAACTCGGCTTGGGGTTGTTGCCCGAAAAGGCTTCCAGGGGTTCTCGGGGTTCGAGAGGAACTACTGGTTTGAGTGACGGGGCCACTTTGAATAGTCGTTTCCTCGCTGCTGCCACCGTGGCGACCGTAGCGACTGTAGCGACGGCGTCTTTCGTCACAATAATAGGACTCATATCGGTCTCTAGTTTGTCGGACTTGGTAGGGTTCTTCTTCGTCGGACTTCTCTTCGTCGGAATTCTCTTCGTAGGTTGCTTCACCGGTGCATTTGCTGCTCTTTTCTCCGCCGCGGGCTTGTTCCGTGACCCTTTTGCTGTTGCTCTCTGTGGCACACCCCAGTACTTGAGCCGCTCTGCTGGTCGCCCTTTGTCGTCCATCAAATCCCCCAACTGATCCAGTATCTTGAACGTGAAAAAGGTCCCATTCGACTTGTCATCCCTCTTGCATTGTGGTCGTTTCCTCGGTACCTTCGTGTCCGCCAATGATCTTCTCCTCTCTGCTGGGGCGCCTTGGGGCGACCATATATCCTCCCTTCTACCCTTGAGATCTGTTACCCACGCGTCACAGTCCCACTCGACCCAATAATCGATCACATCGCCCCAGGTACTCTCTGAAAGCTTCGTACGGTTTACAAACACCACCTTCCCACCCCGCGCGTGAACCACCTTGGCAAACTCCTTGACCATGACCTTCAAACCGTGCACACGTAAGCTCGTCCCCATGATCAGCAAGACGTCCGGTTGCAACGACATGTCGTGAGTCACGAGGGGCCCGATGAGGTTGGAGTGGGGGTGTTCTTCTCCGTAGAGGACGATATCTGGGCGGAGTCTTCCAACAGCGGTTCCTCGACGACCGGTTCCAGTCCTCTTCGCACTGTAGGAGGTGCAGGCGGGACAGTCGGGGGCGCTCCCCGCAAGTGTCGCAGCAAGTCTTCCTTCTGTATCCCAGTCGGAATGGGTGTTGCATACTGCGCATCGGAGGCTGCGCAGGGAACCATGAAGGCTAACTGACTCACATCCCCCTGATCCAGCTCTACTGACCCCCGATAGTGGTCTGAACCTGGCTCGAGATCCGGGACCACTACGGAGGTCAGTAGATAACCCCTCACGCTCTTCCAACATGTCGATGTTCTGCGAATAGTTGCGGACCAGGCGGCCCCCATCGCGAAGAGTACGAAGGAATTTGTGAGAGATGGAGGTTTCGGGCACGTTCTGGACCTTTTGTCGCAGACTCGATACGAACATGTAGAAGATGGAGGTTGTGAACGCGTCCTGCCAGACCATACAATCGAAAAGATCGCGGCCCTTCAGATTCGGCAAACTGCGGTTGTTCTGCGATAGCGAATGTCGAGATTGGGAGGATTTTCCTCGTGATGGAGGCGGAGGGGAGGATTTGGAGGTTGTGGGAGGGTCGGCGCCAAGATCGAATGTTGCGAGTCGAGGAGGTCGTGAAGGGCTGCTCGAGGCAATTGCGGCGTTTTGTTTACTCTGTGCGAAATCGCCTAAAGAGTCTGGGAGTTCTGGCGTCCGCGAAGAGCAGCTTGATAGCGAACTCTCCGAAGACGATTTGGCAGACTGGGTGGAACCTCGAGAAGCAGAAATCGTGTCGTTGGAAGAGGGAGAGCGAGAGGAATGCTTTGGAGTCGAGGGTCGTTGAGATTGCGGCTCTGGGTCTGTGGGGGGTTGCGAGTCTTGTGGGGCAAGGTCCTCGTCAATCACGTCCACAACTTTCCCGTCAGGGGCAACAACCTCGTAGTACCACTGCTTGCGCTTCTTCTTGGGCCTGTCGTCGATATCAAAGATATTGGACTGTTTCCAAGGAGGGTTCTTGATCGCCGCGTCGTACTGGGCCTGGATTAGAGAGTACAAGCCGTTCTCAGAGCGAAAGTCCTGGGAAAGGTGAGTAAACAAGGCTAGATAAGGCTTTGGCCATGGAGGCTTACCGGAATACCACAGTTGGTCGAGATACCCGCCCCCGTCACCACCACCACCTTCCTTGACTTGCCCATGACATCTGCAACTTCTTGCAGCTCCGGGTCGGAGTCCGGCCCTACCTGTAGAGTAGGCATAGTTCCGTTTACCTATTGCACAATCTACCACCTCAAGAGAGTCCTGCTGACAGTCTCGCAGCCTTGAGACACAATCGAGTTGTCGTCCTGGGCAGCCGTGTCGAGGATCCGGGTCCGGGTCTAATCCTGCGCTTCCTGTTTGTACAAAGTATTCAAAATGCGTTGCCTTACCGGGGCAATGTGTTGCTGGCCAGGAAATCTAGTGCTTTATCCGCCTCAAAGCCCAATTGCTGCTCCACCAAGAGTAAACCCCCCTAGTGATGATACAGCTGCCTGAATCATCCAGCGAGGTCACTGGCTCCTGTGCAACATTTCAACAACGGCAGATGTTGTAGGCTAGGTTCCGTCAGATACAGAAGCTTTCACAGCACAGTCTTTGTCCGCCAATGTCTCCTTGTCGGCCTTTGGCTCGCTCACTGCCCCCACTGCCTCGGGCTCCAACACACTGGCGGACAGCAACAGCAGCTGGGCAGCTGAGAGCTGATCTTCAGGCCTAGAACAGGTGAATATGGTCTCTCGATCCACAGGAATCTAATCTATTATTTAAAGACTCCAATTTGAGCAGGGGAGTATGTTTCTCCGCCGAGGCGCAAGATGAGGTCGACGCGTTTCGCTTTGTGAGGTCTTTGCGCGATCGATCTGAGGAATCTTGGTTCCGATTCTTTGAGGGGGGGATCTTCTTTCTGTCAAATGCCGCGGGACAGGGAACGACTGGTCGTGCGCGTGGTGTTGTTGAGAGATCTGAGGGGGAGGAAGTCGAAGTTGAAGGTGAGGTGGTGAGGTCGAGTCGCGCTCAAGTTTAAGATAACGATCAGAGATCTGCCGCCAAAACATGGTCCGAGCTATCCTTGCTAGTCCCCAGCATGCAGGCGGTGAAGTTTAGCGTCCTCGGTCTGGCGACCACTCAGAGCTTAGCACTTGCTTGGCGCTTGGGACGACATCTCACGTACCGGTACCTACCGGTATTACCATCTCAGAGTTGGTTCTACTTCACAATATCTCATATATAAACACAGGATCCTGCATTATCTTCATCTGGTATATCAGGAGCTCTATGCTGATCTCTTACTGCAAGGGAGAGCTCCCCGGACGGAAGAGATGATGTGTAATTGAATGTGTAGTTGACGATGTTAAGTTTTCCGGCTTCACGATTGCTCTTTTCGTTTGCACTATGTATGTTGTGGAATTCCAGGTCATGCGGAATGGAATCATTGACAGCGAAGCTTGACAATCTGACAATTAATGTTGGTTGCGCAAGTGCCCAACATCCAAACGAGTGTTGAGGAGAGCATATAAGTAAGACTCAATGGATGGGCTCAGTTAGCTCTATCATCCACCTTCATCTCTCTTCACAATTCGTCGAGAAGCTCGGCTAGGATCTGGTCACAGGTCTCTGGTGCTTCTGGTCTCGGCCTTCCATAAAATACACTCTTCTCATCATGTCAAAGCCCAAAAAGCTGCAACTCGTCTGGCCCAAGGATGGCCCCAAAGGACGAGGCAAGCGCGGGTTCAGAGGTCGACTGGCCAACATCGTCACAGGCAAGGGACCAGGCATCTTCTTGCAACGTATGGGATCCACCGACCCTATCCCGCGGGATCAGTGGCAAAATTGGTACGCTCCATTGCTCTCTTTTGAAAGCCATATCACTAAAGATTCAGGGATTCGTATCGAAGCTACGCCGATCATCGGCACGAGGACAGAGGCTCAGTTTCCCGAGGCTTCCGACGATATGATCCTCACACTCGGACTTACGTTGAGTGGACGACTCCTCACGACTGGTCGGGCCGCGGAACACATCTATGTGGCGGCGTAGGCTACAAAGGCGATGGGCTTCCCAGATTCACTCGGGAAGAGGGTTCACGGTTCAACAAGGCTTACCATCGGGGGCAGCGTCTTCGAAATGAGGATATGGGAGATGCATGGACGCATGAAGGGCCCAAGGTATGTATGATCTCTTCCTGGTTCATATCAATCACTGACTCCAATGCAGAGATTTGGGCCCAAGTACGACGAGTTCTGGCAGAGTGCTCATCGACAAGCGAAGAATATCGCAGACGGGTACCCGAGGCAATCTATGGGACTCAACCCACACATGACAATGCGCTCTCAGTATGCTGAACAGCCATATCGTGAGTGGTTCTGGGATGAGTGCCTCCATACATGATCATCGGCCCGAGCCGCAAAGTGTTTCTTGTGTTGGCTGGACTGCTGATGGAGGGAAAGTATGGGTTGAGAGACGCGGTGGCATATCGATTTGGTGGGATAGACTTTGTTTGAACTGGCGCCTTCTAGTACGGGTGCGAGAGCAATCCAAGGCCATGAAAACACTTCCTGTTTACTATCGTGTGATCTCGATACGACTCAAGTCCAAGCCAGTCAGTACTCTCATATTCTTTGTTGGGGCGGTCTTACCCAATCGGGTCATCCGGCCAGTTTAGCGACCGTCCTGGCTCCTCACCAAAAGAAGGAAGGTAAGCCGATCATCCCCTTCATCCAACCCCGCGATTCTCCTCACGATCGTCATTCCCCGCACTCCAGACCACGCAGAGTGGATGCACGTGAGCTCGTACATCCCCGTGACGGGACGAGCTGTCGGGAAAGTTCCCTCCATCAAGAGTGGAGTGCACGTGATGGCTGTTTGATTCAAATAGGACAAGTACATACATTGCTTCGATTCATTTCTCATCTACCCCATCGCTCTTAAATCTTGGACCTTCATTCTCGATTCTTGAATCTTGACATCTCTCAACTCTCAACTCTCAGCTCATCGTCAACACATGCGCGCAATCATGGGCAGCCTCCCGGTCCAACAACCCGCCGCCGTGACGGTGCCATCATCAGAACGCTGCGAGCCCGGCTCCTTTCCCCTCAAAATCGCCTCCTACCCTTCCAACTCCTCGCCCAAAGACATTGACCCCACTGAGGTCGCTGCAACCTGGGTCTCAAACTTCAACGCATCTCTCGCGAAGCCCTCGCTGGCCATCCTCTCCCATCTCTTCCTGGAAGAGTCCTACTGGCGCGATCAGCTCTGTCTCTCGTGGGACTTCCACACCTTGAACGGACCGGCTTCCATTGTTGCCCTTCTCACCGCTTCTCGTATGAAGTCTCTGTCGGTTGACACATCATCTGACTTCCGGTCACCGAAGGTCACTGCTCTAGATGATGGCAATGGTCAGACCGTGCAGGTTTTCCTGAAGGTAGAGACGGATGTTGGATATGGCGAGGGTCTCGTGAGATTAGCCGAAGAGGCAGGAGTCTGGAAAGTGTTCACCCTACTCACATTCTTGAAAGAGTTGAAGGGTCACCCGGAGACCGTTGGGAAGCAGAGACCGGTTGGGGTTAAGCATGGGGAACGTGTTACACATGAGAACTGGGCAGATAGAAGGCTGAAAGAGGAGATGTTCAAGGATGATGATCCAGTTGTGCTCATTGTTGGCAAGCTCCCTCCCGTGTACATCTCCGAGAGAGAGAATCGTCGCTAATAGAAAGAAGGCGCCGGACAATCTGGTCTCACAGCCGCGGCCAGACTCAAAATGATCGGCATCAAATCTCTCATCATCGACCGCGAGGAGAGGATCGGGGACAACTGGCGCTCGAGATACCATCATCTAGTCCTTCACGACAGCGTATGGTTCGATCACCTCCCGTACCTGCCATTTCCGGAATCCTGGCCGATCTTTACCCCGAAGGATAAGTTGGGAGATTGGTTCGAGTCGTACGTCAAGTTACTCGACCTCAATGCCTGGACGCAGACAACGATCAGCAAGTCATCTTGGGATAAAGATCTCGGAAAGTGGACCGTGACTTTGGACAGAACTGTGAACGGCAAGATTGAGTCTCGAGTCATGTTTCCCAAAGTAGGTTTCCCGTACTAGTACACAATTACAGCTTGCAATTAACCGAGTACGTAAAAGCACATCATCCAAGCAACCGGCGCCAGCGGCCTCCCTAATATCCCCTCCCTCCTTACCACCGGCCAAAAAATCTTCAAAGGCTCCCGCATCTGCCACTCTTCTACCTACCCGGGCTCCCAGCCCGCCCACGGCCAGTCCAAAAAAGCCGTCATCATCGGCTGCTGTAACTCCGCGCACGACATCGCCCAAGACTACCACGCGAACGGGTACGCCGTAACCATGATCCAGCGATCCTCAACGCTCGTCCTCAACGTCGACACCAACGTCCGCTACATGGCCGCTCTCTACGGCGAAGAGGCACCCAGGACGGAAGACGCAGATGTGCTGTTCATGAGCAGCGCGAACCAGGTAGTGAAGAAGAGCAGCATCTCCATGACCGCGAAACAAGCTGTCGACGACGCCGAGACGCTGGCGGGATTGGAGAAAGCGGGGTTCAAGCTGGATCAGGGGCCTGGGGGCAGCGGGCTCTGGATGAAATACCTGCAGCGCGGAGGCGGCTATTATCTCGACGTCGGCTGCTCCCAGCTCATCATCGACGGCAAGATCAAAATCAAGCAAGGCGTTGAGATTGCCGAGGTCTTGCCCGACGGGTTGAAGTTTGCAGACGGGGAGGTGCTGGAGGCGGATGAGGTGGTGTTCGCCACGGGGTACTTGAACATGCGGTCGCAGTGCCGAGCCATCTTCGGGGACGAGCTGGCGGACAAGGTCAAGGATGTCTGGGGCTTTGATGAAGAGGGGGAGATTAGGACGATGTGGAGGGGGAGCGGGCATCGGAACTTTTGGTTCATGGGGGGCAATCTGGCGCTTTGTAGGTGGTATTCTCGACTCTTGGCGCTGCAGATCAAGGGGATTGAAGAAGGCTTGGTGAAGTGGGAGGATATGTAGAGAAGGCTCAAGATCCAGGGGAAGAAGGCCAATTGAGCCCGAGGCAGATGTGTGTTTAGTAGTATAGAACGAAGTTGGAATATCTTCTTCCAAGTCCCGAGAATCCAAGATTGAGAAGGAAGGAAGCATTTTATTCCATTGGAACCAGAATTGAATCCCTCCCTCTCTTAACACCCCAAGTCTTGGACCGTACAGGAATATATACACATACAGTAGACTGACTAAGCGGTTTCTAGGACTGAAGGAGACGGACTGACCGGCTTACGTGCATTGTATTTCTCAGCTGGAGGCAGGAATTAAGTCGCCACCTCGTCCGTCAAACCCCTTACTAAAATCATATTAGCGTGCTCTTTCACTGATTCCCTCGCAAGTAAGCGAGTACACAAGACATATCCCCTTATGATAATATGTATAATGCTCATGCAAAGAATGTATAGCCAAGCCATAATATATACTCTCGACATGGGGAACATAAATATTTTATTCCGTCAAACTCAAGAGATATCTATCTATTAGCAAAAGCTAGCTCTAATAAGTTTCTGGGCTACGAAATGGTGGTTTTTCTCGCTTGTGAGTTAGCGCCTTTTGATCCACCTACGGAGACTTTTATGAGCAAGCAAGCAACCAAGCGCGGTGATGGTGGTGGTGGTAAGGAGACCTAGCAACGACATCTAATCTGTACGGTACGAATTAAGTCAAGTTAAGCAATTTCTTCTGGAAGTTATTATTAGCCCGAAGATTTAGTGGACGGAGGTTTGAAGTAGAGCCTCGAACAATGTCGGAAATCTGCAAGATCTGTCCCGCTGGTTAGGTTAATGCAAGCAAGCGAAAAGTGGCAGGTAGGTAAGAATCAGTTCGCTTGTTGATTTTTGGAGAGGGGAATGATTAAATTAGATACTCTGTGAAGGACTGAGAAAGAGAGGGTGATGATGTTTATACACTTCAAGATCAAGGTCATAAAAAAATAGCTGTAAAGTCGACTACTGCCGAGTGCCTCATCCCATCGCCGAGTATTACGTAATCCCAATTTCTCGCTCTACGGAGATCCTAGTACCTTTTTCAAGTGTATGTGTCCATTCAAGTCCATCCCGTCGTCGCCCGCTCAGCTCACGAGCTTCATACTCCCTTCCCCTTCCAAGCTCAACTTCACGACGTTAAAAATTTGGCTGAGCTCAAGAAAGCAGATACTTGCCCAAGCAACAAGCAAAAGCTCCCTTCCAGCTTCGCATCCAACTTTTCTGCTGCAGCAACCAGCTACCAGCTACCAGCTACCAGCTACCAGCTTGCAGTCCTTGTTTGTCACGTCCAGCAATCAATCAAGAGACTCGGTAAGGAAGACGTAGATGATCTCTGTCCCCTCTTCTTCCTTCTCTTGCACGAAACTCTATAAAGGAAAGAAAGGAGGAAGGAAGGAATGAATGAATAGTCCCGCATAGACATGACATCGAGCTTAAGCATCGTGACAGTTATTTAATATTGCGCTTTTTACTACTCGAGGTATATTATATTGGCACTTTTTTTTTACCGGTTTAAACGGCTAGAATTCCGATACTTCAAATTTCTATATCATATGTATCTCGAATTAAACAATACATAAATGAGCTAGCGTATTATAAATTGATTTTATAAATCGGCGCGATCGTTAAATATCAGGATATCAAGTTTTTAATAATCAGTTATCGTTTGTAAGACGGGTAATATTGTAAAAAGTACGACGGAAGACAGCTTTTTTTCGCTTCCTTTAAGGAAGGGCTCTAAAAGTTGCGAGGTCAAGTCCCACTGTTAATTGATACTGGAATCTGAAAGAGTTTTCAAAAAGACAGAGGCGACGAAAGGAAATGAGGTTGAAATAGAAGTTGGCGCCAAAATACTATAAGCGAAACTCTTTACAACGTCTCAACTTGCAGAATCCGTAATAAGTTGATGAATTGTGTAAAAATACTTTTAAAGCACAAAATTTAGTTAAATGTCATTGAGACAGCTGCTAACAAAGAGTCCGCGGGGGAAAGTCGCGCTTGACGCGTCTAAATCGCGATAAGTAATTGATCCCGCGACGTGCTTCGCGTCAACCTCTCGCCTCGACACCCAGAACCTACAACAATTTAGAGCTGTCTACAAACCCAGCATCCTGGCACAGCACCTTCCGCAGATCTGCCAGCAAGCATCACGACCCTGACCTCACCATGGCCCCCGAAGATCCAAACCCCGCCCACCCCCTCTACAACACGACCTTCTCCCTCCTCCGAGTCTCCCCACTGTACACCGGCCGCCACGGCCCCCTCAGCAACGCGACTCTGCGAAAGCATGCCCAACGATTCCGCGACATACTTGTTGGCGAAGTCTTGCGCGGCGTGCGCGTAGGCCTGGGTACTAAAGAAGATGACGTTCTGTCGCGCGTCGGCGCCTTGCAAACCGTGACATGGCGCCAGCTCCCCGAGGAACAGGCTTGGAGCGCAGCGGACGAGACGGGATCGGCCCACGACGATGTTGCAACGGGTTTGGCGCTCCTCTGCAGGGGGATGATAGTCACGGTCGCGTACGAGAAGATAGAGTACAGGGCTATCCTGCTGCGGGACGGGCGGGGCGACGATGCGGATGCCTCCTCGATGGGCACGGGTGGGAAGGAGACGGATGATGGGTTTCAGAGCTTCCCTTTGCTCATGACCAAGATGCCTGGGTCGCTGCGAGAGGCTTTCACTGAGTTTCTGGCTAGCACTTTTGATACCCGGGTCTCGGCGTTGTGTCTCTCGAGCCAGTACCTCGTGAGCGCATTCGAGAGGTACCTGGCTGATATCTCCATGGGGGAAGATGGCGAACCCCTTGGTCTCATCGAGAGAAGCAGGGCGTTGAGACACACTATCAAGGAGACGTTAGTGGTCATCGGATTTGATATCCCCGGTGGCTCTGCCGCGCTGAAGACCATAGACATTAACATTGCGAGAGAGGATCTGCCACGGATGGTCGCAAGGGGAAAGACTATTGGAAGGCAGGGAGACGGAGATTCTCCCTTTTTTGAGGCTCTGACGACGTATATCAAGGGACACATGGCCTTGGATCTGCGCAACGAGAAGGTGAAGATCTCGAGAATTGCTTGCGGGGCATTTGTCCTGGGCTCTGAAGGGAAGATCAAGTTGACCCAATTACCAAGTGAGAGCGACGGGCAGTCGTCTCGGGGTCCAGCTACTCGTCGCTTGATAAATGGGCTGATCGGAGCTGCGGCTGGTGTCTTGTTGTCTGGTGGCTGAACGGAATTACGATGTCCACATATTGGTAACATTTTAACGACCGACAATAGTGCATCGTTCAGTAGGCCAGCTTCGTTTAGATCCGCCAGGAATTTACCGAAACGGAATCCTTCCGAGAACAGCAATCCCGTCTACGGTACTATAAACGAACAAGAATCCGACAATAAAAGTACCCGCGCAAGACTCGACGCGAGAGAGAGGCATTCCCATCGCTGGTCATCGCAAACTGGGCCGGTCTTGAAACACGGCAGTCCAATTGGTATCCGACAAATCCAAATAAATCTGGCGAGTCTCTCTCGTCAATATTCCCAACGACGCCTTCATATCACGTGTTCACAGGTTTCTCTTCTTTAAGAGTCGCACTTCGTTAACGGAAACTAGTTCGGGTTACAGCATAGCATGCATGCGAACTATTCTCCGAATAAGATATATTTTTTATTAAGGTCTAGGGATACAGATAAGAATGAACAAAGACTATCAATCCTTATTTGATGTAAATTCATGATACATCTCGTGTATTAGAGCTCAATGTTTTAAAGTCTTCCTCCGTCTCCTCCCAAGGGGCAGTACAGAGAGAGATATTGCCTAGTCCCTCCTCTACGATCACATCTTTCTATTAGTGCTACCGCTCTTATTAATATCCTTCGTCTGCAAGAGCATGTCAGAGCGGTTCCAAGCTAGAGGGTATCTATCATCACAGCATCTAATTTTCGAGTCGTCACATTCAACCATGCATTCTTTCTGCTCTCTCAGACGGTATGATCAAAAGTCAAATAAACATAAACATAAACAGGCAGTTACAGATTTTCCCACCTCTGCGCCCCGATAGCCACCAAGCGGTTAAACAACTCGTCTCTTTCGGGCAACGCCGTAAACCTCCACTCTTTGCCGCTCAGATCCTGAATCTCCACGCTCCCCAGTAGCTCCTTTTCGCTGCTCCAGCCTGCTGCCATCTCTGCGGGCTTATTGGCGAATGCCGTCGCACGCTTCAACTGTTGGATGCTTCGCACGTCCAGTGCCACTACCGGGTCCAGATCTTCCACTTGCACACTCTCGGATCGCGGATCCTTGGTCGTGTAGAGTAGGATGGGCTTGGGGCCTTCGGTGATGTACAACCAGCCTTGTTTACCATCGAAGCGAGCTTTGAAGTGGCTAGGGCCCGCATAGATCAGATTCTTGGGTTTTGGAAGGACGCCGAGATGACCTTTGGCTTTCTCCGAGCCTGCAGCCGCGCGGACGTGATCTACAGCAAGTTTAGTCTCCACAGAAGCTTTGGTATTGCTTTTGAAGATGCGGGTTATCTTGGAGAGGCGCTTGTGTTTTGGCTGAGGCTCAGGCTCAGACTCTTTTTCTTGGCGATGAAGAGCATCGAGCGGCGACTCTTGGATGGCGGACAGCTTTTGGGCCTCCGAGGCCTCAATTGGGATATTTTCGACATCTATGTCTTGGATTTGGTCTTTGTCGTCCGCCTTTGAACTCGGCACAGGAGGAAGAGGAGTGTTGTACACCTCGCCGATGCGGAGAAGAGTAAGAGCCAACTGTTTGTTCGTTGGAACCCCGCGCAGGATATTACTACCTTGGATCAGTATGTTTGAGACATTTCCAAAGCAGACGACTCACTTCTTTGGTTGAACTAGCTCTAACCAGTTCGGATATGTGCGATTGAGCCATTGCAGAGCAGGGGTAAGGACCGGGTCGCCGAAGATACCGAAGCCAACTGCGAGTCCTGCCGCTTTGTAGACCATATAGCTGCTGATGAAGAATGCTGACAAGAAGATGGGCAAGACCACTGCGTCAATCCTGAGGAAGGAGTACTTTGAGAAAGGCGGCGTTGGAGATATTGCGCTTCGTCGGTTAGCGAAGACACTTCAGAGAGATGCTCCACTTACTTCGCAAATCGTTCCCAGTTGTCAACAAACTCTCCAACAACATGCGGAGCAATCTTCATGACCTTAGCCAATTTCTCCGGGCTGGCCTTATCCCACAGTATGTTCTCCATCGGCCCCTGAGTCTGGTCATCTTCCTCGGTTGCATGGCCCTCGTTCGTCCCCTTTGCTTTGATAGCTCGGACCGCTTTTCTCACAGGCTTGGGCACTTTGCCCTCAAGCGGGTCTCCATCACCCCTTTCTTTTTCGTGCATTCCCACTGCTCTCTGGACGAGATGCCTGACGTTGTGGACAAAGTTCGCAGCTTCCTCTTCGACGGCTTCGCCTTGTTGCTTCTCGGAAGCTCCAGTCAGACTATCGAGTGTCCCCAGCTGACCAGAAGCCGGTTGTTGCAGTCCTCCAGTACTCATGTTGACAAGAGCTCTCGGTGCCGGGGGGAACAACAAGTCGCGAGACTCCTTCGAAGTGATGACAAGCATCAGCGTCCCAAGCATGAGGGGGGTGAGGAGATCGAAGTACCATGCCACAGAGTACATCTTGATGAATGTCAGTGATAGCTCCGATGTCTTTGATTCTCGAGGTGGAAAGCACCTACAGCGCAGAAGACTGAAGTTCTTGGCGTCTCTTTCCAGGAACGAAGTCGGGATACTTGTTTTCCGAAACTTGCCAATTCCAGAACAGTGTTCAGGTACAAGCGCTGCAGATTCAAAGTTATTTTGTCGGATGCATATTCATCGCTCCAAGATTCTTCCAAATCAAGTCGTCCTTGGGTGATGGAAGGAGGAACACTGCTGACTGCGAAAACGTCCTTCGCAAGTAGCGTGTCAGCAACTTGAACGAGAATTCGGGAATTGCTTAGACCTTGACTTCCATACCTTGTTGAAGCGCCGAATTATGGAGAACAATTTGCCATTTGATATACCCTCAATCAACGGGTCTGGTATGTCAGCCGTTGGACTGTGCCACCCAATGTCCCTCGTTGCAAGCTGACTCTGCCCATGTCGGTCCTGGCTCTGGATCGCTCCACTGATGGTCGAATCGTGCGCCATATCATGACCATCCGCCGTGAACTGGTTCGTAATGGTGGCAGTCTGTTCACGCAGGGCGGAGACAGGGTCCAGACTCGTGATCGTTTGCTGAATTCTTTCGGCCGCGAGTAATGGTCCTCCTGTATCTTCAATTGCAGCGAGTGCCTCGGCGAATTCTTTTTCCTGGAGCGGCTCCTTTGGGCGGTCTTTTGGAACAAGAACAACATTGACGGCGTCCATCTCTCCCTGAGGCCTGAGGATATGCTGGGGTGAATATGATGCTATTCTGGCGCAGTGTTGGTCGAGCAGTTAGTTATCAGGATCGACGATGGTGGATAAGAGTGGAAGCAAAAGCGACGTCTTGCTATATATACCCAGGTAGGTATATCTGCCTTCCCATGATTTTCGGAAGATCACCACCACCACCACCACCAACGTCATCCCATAAACCTGCTGGGTTGTGGCTTCCCGTCTCGGACTGGACGGCCGTTGGTCAATTCAATTCGCTGATGATGATGACCTGTCATACCGGATCAAAAATGTGGCGCATCGAGATTTCAAGTTTTGGAGGGAAAGAAAGAATGGGAAGGGAAGGGAAGGGAAGGGAAGCAAGGTGGTGCTGGAGGTGGTGTGGTCGCGACTGGTCATTCTTCGCTTATGTAATGCCCGTGAGTTTCGATGGCAAGAGCTCCTTCCCCTTCCAGGGACATAGCTCTTATATGACCAGTTAAGCTTCTTCACCCAGATCGACCGATCGCTGCCCCGCATCCTTTTGGTTTGGTGTAACCTGAATTTCACCCAAGTTCAACTGGCCCGCTACCATCCATCTCTCAACCCGATACACTCACTCACCCACTCACTTACCACTCACCCACTCACCTACTCACCCACTCACCCACTCACCCACTCACCCACTCCCTCTACTTCAACAACAACAGCAAACCAACCCGCGAGGTAAAGCATCTCTTCATCGCCATCCAGTCTCTCTCCAAAAATGCCTTCCATCCTGGATATCGGACTGGGCAAAGTCGGCAGCAACAGGTATGTTTGCCCAGCACATCTGTGACACTCCGGAATCCCAAAACCCCGTCTAACAGCAGCACCACAGCCACCCAATCCACCCAGCTACCGTGCACCTCCCCATCGCTTTCCTCCTCGTCGGCTCCGGGCTCGACATGCTCGCCTACATCAGCATGTGCTCGCCCCTCACCGTCAACGCCCTTAGCAGCGTCTTCGGTGTCTTCTTCGACGCCGCCACGCCAGCCGCAATCATCTACCACCTCTCGCTCTTCGGCTATGTCAGCACCTTCGCCGGCGCCGCCACGGCTGTCCCGGCCATCACGACCGGCCTCGTCGAGGGGTATGCCATGGTTGCCGCCAAGGGCCTGGATCTCTCCAACCCGGTGGTCAAGACGACCGTGATCCACGCCGGGCTGAACGACGTGGCCGTCCTGGGCGCATTGTACAACCTGGTGAGCAGGTGGGGACATACGGCATTCGCACCCAGAGGAGGGAACGTGGTCGTCAGTGGGGTCATTCTGGGTGGCGTGGCGTATGCGGCTTTCTTGGGCGGCGGGCTGGTGTACACCCATGGGGTGGGTGTGCAACGCATGGGAAAGGGTAAGGAGGAAAAGGAACAGGGAGAGGCGGCCGAGAAGCGCAAGGAGAGAAAAGAGCTCTAGATTGCGAGGGGGTTTGCGTCTGCCGCAGCTCGCGCGCGGTGTTTGTTCCGTCGTCTTCGCTTTGGTGTTTTCACATTGGGGAGGGGGGGGGGGCGGGCTGGATTAAAGGATTAACTACTTGAAGGGATATTCTCACAATCAAGTAGCTGAAAAAATAGCTGCTCACGTTTCATCCTCTGCCCAAAATACTTGATTGTTGATTTCCATTTCTTCTCACCGCTGCCACTGTGAAGCTATGAAGTAAATCGAGAGCATTCAGGTCAAGATATACCCGACCGTCCATCGCCCACTACTGCAGCCTGTTTTTCAAGGTCCATCATACCACTTCTGTCGGTATATCCATATCGACCTTAGCTAGCTAGTAGCAGTAGTTGGGGAAGCTCACCCATGAACCATGGTTCACGGGCCACTTGGCATGCCTCGCTTAGCATGTCAGCAATCAAAGGACCCCTAACTTGATAAGTAAGCCTATTAGTTAGCTAGTGCACGTGATTCCTTCTAATCATATAGAAGGAATCAGCTCCCCTGAGCATTAGGGAGCAGACAGAATTCAGATACCTTATTAACCGAGTGTTTTGCAATTGCAAGTACTTTGACGACCGTTACGACCTTACGAATATATATTCCCAATCGCTTAGAAGCAATCTAATACTGATCAGTAATTGAATTACTACTAAGTGATCAATCACAGAGAAGCTAGGACTCTATAGCGAGGATACCTTTTAATACGATACCTCCTTCCTTTACAACGGAAGAGCGATTCCGTACCAAGTCGCTTTCTATACCACCGATTTTCTTTATTTTTACGGAAGAGTGATTCCGAACCAAGTCACTTTTAAAACAATAACTTCAACGCTGTAAGAGCCGCGCCTGCTACATATAGCAACCCAACCAAATTTAGATCGACCTATACACAAACAGACAACAACTATGGCCGATCGAGCAACTGGACCTCCGGGTGAGGAGTCCAGCCGATAAGGAGCAAGGTATTATACCTTTCGAATCTCATCACTACCTACGGAACCCTTAGCTATTCAGCCAAAAGAAACACTATACCTAAGGCTCCCAAGCCTCTCGGAGGGACCAGACGATGAGATGTCGGGCATCTCATTTGACTTAAACGAGCTACTATACGCAAGGCTCGATAGTGAGATTACGGCCCGAGCTATGGTGAAGGACTTCTTGGATGCGAAGTGTAGAGGGCTAAGGGATTACGACCTATAGAGCTTATTCCGCTACGCTTTCTCACGCTAGGATTGGACGAGTTTTACGATGACGGGGGATAATACGGGACGAGGCCTTAAGTTTGCTACCCTTATTAGCCTTAAGGAACACTTGCTGTCCAAAGGCGTGTAGTGCCCCTTAAAGCAAAGGGGCTACGCCAATAGGATGGTTAAGCTCTTGAACGATAAGCAGCAATACCAATAGACCTTCCAAGAAATAAAGGAGCAACAGGCAATACCCTTAGGCTTCGATTCAAAGTGGACCGCCGAAAACCTCACGGACGACGAGGATAATACGCCTCAACCACCTCTACCACCCTCACGAAGTCCAAAAGGGAAGGAAAAGGAAGAAGGGGAGGAGATTCGGAAGTTACGCGAGGAGTTTGCGAAGGAAAGGAGGGATATGAAGCAAAATATAAAAGTAATAGCAAGGCAAATAGCAAAATTACGGACCTACGCTATACAATCTAACGAAGGGCTACGACGAAGCACTTCAGCGTACTCAACGCCTTTAATCTATCAATCGCTACGCAATACGTCAATCATCCAGGAAGAGCTAAAATCACCTTAGCGGCCCTCAAACCCCTTTCTCAAGAGCTACACCCAGTTTTCTGAAAAGCCTGGGCCTAATAGCAATAACAACAAGGGTCTTGAGATCATTATCGGACCAGACAACAATCGAGGCCACGAGAGCTACACGCTAAAAGAGGACCCGCCAAAACTTGAGAGCATACCGGACAAAATCAGCTCTTACCAAGGACAGCGTGTAGATTTCCGTGCCCAACCTCAGCAACCCGAGGGGGGGATCTAGCACCCTCGGACGTACCGACAAGCTACCCACATCTCTCAAAAGGCTACGTATTAGCAAGAGAGAAACCAAGGGTATAAGAATCGCTAAGAGCGCGCCTAAGGGTACGGATATCACCAAGCTAGAGCCTTAGCCGGTGACCCGAATGGCCTTAGCGATTTTAACGATGACCGACGAGGAGGAAACGAAGGAGATTAATAGAGAGATCGAGGCTACGGGTACGGAGGAGGTAGAAATGGGCCCCCTGGACCAAAAAGGGGATTCGGAAACGGACCCTTAAAAGACCCCGGATTCGGAAATGAGCCTCTTAAGGACCCCGGAAGAGGACGGACTACCGGCAACTATATCGGTAACCTCTTACCGATCAGACCATTAGCTAAGCAAAGCATACTTGCGTACGGCACTCCAGGCGCCTTTAACGACGATAGCGATGATTTCCTTAAGCTAAGAGCAGCAGACCTTTACCCAAGAGCGAAGGAATTGGCTTTGTTTGCAAGAAGCTTTCTTAAAGAACTAAAGTATTCGAGACCCGACGATGACTTCAAGACTTAATTAAGTATTTTCGCTAACTAAGCAAGTCGATACGGCTTGATATCCGACGACTATTTAGCAGCGTTCTTAATTATGCTTACGAAGGAGGCTATAACCTTCTATTACAATCATGTGATCAAGGCCAAGCTTCCGACGTTCAAAGCAAACGCTATTATTATAAAGGACCACTTCGAGATTGACTACCGGCGGCAAGCAAAATACGACCGTTAAGAAGAAATTTCGCTAGATTTGGTCAAGAAGGAGAATCTAAAGACCTCGCTTAACGAGTGCTTTAAGAAGCTCGCTAAAGAGCTCAGGGGCATTCAAGGCTCTTTACGACCAGGTTTAAGGGACGATCGAAGTCTTGCTAACAAGCTGTATTTAACTTATAAAAACGTGCCAGAGACTACGATTGCACGAATGAACCTTGCGTTTACCTCTACCGCCGCAGTTGCCGACATCCGCCGAGCAATTGCATTTGCAACTAAGACCTCCCGACCCGCCAAGGCGAGTAAAGCTTACGCGAGCTCTAGCGAGCCACACGATCACATCTGCTCTTACAACACTTTAAAAGCTGACTCCGATTTGGACGAGGAATACGAATGCTTTATTCAAGATCGCCAATACTTCGAAGGTAAGAAAGCTGCTAAAGCTACTACTAAGGGTGAGAAAAGGTATTTTGTTTGCAAAAAGCTAGGTTGCTAAAGCACCAACCACACCCCCGACAAAAGAAAGGCATCCGTCGCCAAGTTCCAGGCCTCTAAGGACGCAAAAAGGGTGACGAGAAGCAAATTCTCTTAATACGTAGCATCGATTGAAGGCTTGCCACTTGTATCCACGGAAGAATTCGATTAGTTTATCGCAAGCCTACTAGACGAGCCGCTCGAATCGGGCAGCTACGCTAATATATCAAAAGGTTTTGTGACTACCTACGGCACCTTTGACGCTGACGAGGTATACAAGCAACTAGAGATTCAGACGGCATTCCACGCCTTTACTAGCCAAATCGAGACCCAAAACGTGCCCATAGGCAAAGCAAAGACCTATATAGCTTTTAAGTACTTTGAAAACGTGTTTATAGGCCTTATGATTGACAGCGGAGCAACCAATTTCTCTACCGCTGGCTTGCCTTAGCTACGAGCACTCTAAAAGAGGTACCTCGAGGTCCAATTAAATACATCTCGGGCAAAGGAGAAGTCCGTCAAGTATAGGATTGGCTTTGCCACCTCTATTAAAGCAGTTACTTTAGAAACGCTCTTAAGTTAAGTGGAGTTCCACGTTGTGAAGAGCGATGTACCCTTTTTATTCTCATTAGCTAATATAAACAAGCATAAAGTGATCCTAGATAACTTGCGGAACGTGCTAATGCAAGGGAAAAAGGAAATACTAATAGTAAAGATGTTTAAGCACGTGTAGATGCTATTAAGTAAAGAGCACGCTGCTACCTACTATAACACCGAAGGCGAGACCGTTTATTGCCACTTTACGAAAGAGCAATTAAGGACCATCCACAAGCGTTTTGGCCATCCTTTAGCAGGTCGATTTGCTGCTGTTCTTAAGAAGGCCGAGCACGAATTCAGACGGGATTTGCTTCATAACATCCAAAAGTTTTGCTACTACTGCTAAGTCTTTAAGCGTTCCCCTAGAAGATTCAGTATTAAGCTTAAAGACGATACTGACTTTAATAATACGGTATACGTAAACGTAATGCACCTTGACGGCAAAAACGTATTACACGTCGTCTGCGATTCTACTAATTTTCAAGCCGCCATCTTCTTCAAAAGCATATCCGCACAGCATTTACTTAAAGGATTCAATAGATGCTGGGTTAATACTTACGTCGGACCCTTTACAAACGTCGTGCACGATCCCGGAACCAACTTCAATTCGGCAACGTTCCGAAGCTACCTTAAAAGTATTAGCAGCATCTTAAAGCAGATGCTTGTAGAAGCCTATCATAGCGTCGGGCTAGTGGAACGCTACCACGTCTTTATGCGACGCGCTTTTGAGATCGTCACAAAAGAGCTTCCAAAAGCCCTAAAGGAAGACAGGCTTCAAATGGCCATCAAAGCCATCAACGACACGGCGGGACCTAATGGCCTGGTCCTTACGCTTTTCGTTTTTAGCACCTTACCGAAGCTAACGGAACAAGATCGACTTGCCGCGTCTACTTAAAAGCGTGCTGCTGCCATCAACAAGGCTATAAAGGAAGTACGAAAATGCTACGCCGCGAAGCAGGTTAAGGACGCGCTCAAGAAGAGGAATAGACCAATTACGAAGCATACCTTAGACTTCCCTATTGGTTCACGGGTACTCGTGTGGCGGGAAAACCAAAGGTAGAAGGGCCCCTTTCAGCTGCTTAGCAAGCAAGGGCACACGTGCATAATAGCATGTCCGAGACTTACGGAATTCAGGTCAACCTCAATAAAACTTTACTACTCTGAAGTTGAAAAGCTGCCAGAGGAATTGCAAGTACTTGAAGTAAAAGCGGAAGAAGAAAAGGATAAAAGCGAAGGCGAAAAAGAGCTGGAACTACAAAAATCGCTTAAACCTCAACATTCGCATAATCCACCGAGGTCGCTTAATCCAAGAAGCTCGCTAAAACTAATAAACAGCCCTCTTAACCCTTAACTTGCTAATCCTTAGAAGTCAATAATACTAATAGTCCAGATACCTTACCAGAAGTACGATCCGAGTATCCCGACCGTGCCCGATGAAAAGGAGGACGATTCTTACGTGCTATTTACTAAAGACTCCGAAGTGTTGATTACCGATAAAGAACGCCGAGACTATAAGCTTTCAGCCAAGCTACGAGCCGAAAGAATTATTAAAAGCCTCGAGGCACTATTTCAAGAGTCCAGAGCAAAGGAATTAGCTAGATTAATAGCTTAAGGCATCCTCTAAGTGATCCCGGGCACCGACCCACGCGCTAAAAGCGCTAGGATCTTCGGATCTAGGTTTGTTGACGAGATCAAGGGCAAAGGAACACCTACGCTATACGAAAAGTCTCGTATAATGGTCCAAGCTTTCTAAGACAAGGGCAAGACGAAAGTACTCACCGAGTCTCTTACGGTATAGCGAGCGGGCTAAAGACTCTATTGCGCTTTAGCTCCTTCTCTAATAAAGGACTACGGGTGCCAGGTCTATAATAAGGATATTATATAAGCTTACACTCAGTTAAGTACGAAGCTCATACGAATAATCGTCGTGCGACCACTTAAAGAGATCACTTATCGATTCCCTTTCGGCACTTTGTTCTTTATAACTAGCCTCTTATACGGCATCTTCGAAGCAAGAACGCACTAGTATAAGCGTTTTTCAAGGCATTTCACGGACAACCTCGAGATAAGGCAATCGAGCTTTAATTCTTGCCTCTTTATATCAACTAATAAGGATTAGCTAAGAATAGCTGCCTTATAGACGGACGATGTTCTTATAGTTATCAATCCAGCTATAAAGGCAAGGGAAGAAAAGGAGCTAGTTAAATCTAAGCTAAGAAGCAAGGAAATGGAGATCCTTACATACGCAGAATTAATGATTTTCAATAGATGCAAGCTATCCTTAGATAAGGACGGGTTCGGACTGTTAGTTGGGCAAAAAGGGCAGGGTGAAAGGCTTGCCGTGATCAAGCTCGATTTAGTTACACGGGCTAAAGAGTATTTAAAGCAACGTGCTCGAAGGGCGTATTTAGCTACCATTTGCTACCTAGAGGCATCTTGCGCTCTATCGATGGCTGCCCAGCACTAGGAACCAAAGGACGAAGACTATAAAGCCTTTAATAAAGTGATCTAGTGGCTAATCGATCACCCAACTCGAAGGATCTACTACGTGCCTTTAGACCTAAAGACGGCGAAGCTTTTTATGTTCGTGGATGGAGCGTTTGCTAATAACGCTGACCTTAGCTCCTAGATCGGTTTCGTGGCTATCTTTAGCAATAAGGCTCACGTAAGTAAGAACGAGTTCACTTTGACGGGTAACATCCTCTATTGGGTGTCACAGAAGTGCAAGAAAATGACAAGGGCAGTACTAGCCTCTGAGCTATACGCTATGTCCCTAAGTATCGACATAGCTATTGCTATATCGACCACCTTTGCTTAAATCACAGCTCAGCTAGGAATCTTTAATTTCCTCGTAGTAGTGTGCATTGACTCTTACTCGCTCTACGAGTGCATAGTAAAGCTGGGAACTATTAAAGAGAAGCGCCTTATGATCGATATTATAGCTATTCGAGAGTCATACGAGAAGCGGGAGCTCTTTGAGGTACGCTGGATCGGAGGCAAATCCAACCTTGCTGACGCCATGACTAAAATCGGGGCTAATTCCTCTTTGCAAGAGCTAGTTTTAACCAATACCTTAAAGGTGCAAGTGGACGGGTGAGTGGAAAGGCCGCTATAAGAGAGGGAGGGATGAGATTGTTTTTCCTTTGTTTGATTACCTTCTTTCCTTTTTCGATCGATATAGTAGTTAGCAAGGCATTGCTTGCCAAAAAAAGAGTTGCCGGTATCGGTATATCTATATCGACCTTAGCTAGCTAATAGCAATAGTTAAGGAAGCTCACCCATGAACCATGGTTCACGGGCTACTTGGCATGCTTCGCTTAGCATATCAGCAATCAAAGGACCCTCAACTTAATAAGTAAGCCTATTAGTTAGCTAATGCACGTGATTCCTTCTAATCATATAGAAGGAATCAGCTCCCCTAAGCATTGGGGAGCAAACAGAATTCAAATACCTTATCAACCGAGTGTTTTGCAATTGCAAGTACTTTGACGACCGTTACGACCTTACGAATATATATTCCCAATCGCTTGGAAGCAATCCAACAACTTCCCTGCAGCCAGGTCAGTTGACTTCCTCTCGCTCACCAATACTGTAGGTAACGTAGGTAAGGACAGCGCGGCGTAAAACCAACCCCTACCAGCCTAACGAGTCCTTACGTTCCATTTCTTTCTCTCTCTCTCTCGTATTCCAGCATTTTTTTATAAAAAAAAATTAATTTAAATAACGCATCGATCAAAAGTGAAGCTGCATGGAGTTCGATAAATATACTTTCGGCTAAAAAGAGTAAGTAAACATCAACTAAACCAAGACTAGCTAGCCAAGCTAAGCTTAAGCGATCGAGCTAGAGCTAGACTTAGCTAGAATCGAATCGCTCAGGCACATTTATTCAATATCAAATTCCTCCAGAGCTGAACAAATAACTGAACAAATAAAGCAGTGCAATGCAAGAAGCGCGAGTTCGTGAGAGAAGTCCTGGTCCTGGATGATACAACGCGACTGACTAGTCGATCGATCGATCTACCAAGTACCCATGCGAAATCCCGATGGATAATGAATATGCGTCAGGTGAGGTGCCTGTGTTGTGCTGTGTTGTGCTGTGTTTCTAGAAAAAAGGTCTGGGACGAGGATGCTTTCGAAAATGGGCGTCGGGTGAGCTTGTTGTTGTTGTTGTTGTTGTTGTATTTATTTACGTCGGGCGGGTAGCAGGCGAAGCCTGCCGCCCTGGGACCTCCCATGGGGTACGGCGACGTGCTAAGCTAAGGAGTTACATACAAGAAGGCCCCAGAAAGCAATTCAAAGTGTTGTAGCGAGGGCTACTGTCGCATGCGCCCTTCCCCTACAGATAGGATGGATCACATAGAAAGAAACCTTTCATCAAAGGAAAACCACAAAAGAGAGAGTCAAGCATGTACAAACTGCTGTAGCTAGCCAAAGGCGAGCTGTTCACGTCGCGTAGCGACAGGAATCAAGGCCGGACCGGGGTCAGCCGAGTACAAAAGAAAAGGTGAATACGAAAGCCCAAACTCCAAAAGAAAACCCAATATAATACACCAGTGCCAGAGAGAATTCCCCCGGGAGCGCACCACGCTATCCCAAAGTCCTAGTCCCGTGACGCGGTTAATCTGACGAGCCTTTACAGCTTGAGTAAAGCGGAGCGTACCCCGTTCTCCTTACCGAAGCAGTATCAGTTGGCCAGAATAGCACCCCTATCGGGTGCAGTGCTTGGAGTAGAACTCCGTGGTGGTCAAGAAGGCCTGAAAATCGGCCGGATTGTTAAGGAGACCCTTAAGGAAGTCGTAGGCTTCCGGGATCGTGCTCGGAGGGGTCCGCGGTCGAGTCTTGTAAGGCCAAGAAAAGAAGCGTCGTTGCGTGAATCGGCAGAAGGCTATGTGCAAAGGGGACTTGCGTTTGCCGCAAGCACACCTTAGGTTGGCGTCGTGGTGCTAGAACCTGGTATAGTACCAAGTAAAGTCTCCGTGCGTAGTTCGGATCGCAAGTAGTCTGTGTAGGACATGTCGTGGGAGTTCTAGCTCCGGGAGGGGCTTGACTAGGTATAGAAGGCCCCATTTCCGATACGAGCGTGAGAGCTTAAGAGAGCTTGCGCTCCACCAGGCTTCTCGTGCTCCATCCCGTATATCGCGGAAGAGTGTGCGAATGCCGCTGATCGTAGGTTGCGATGCCAGACCAGTGTCCCAGTCCGGTTTCCTTGCCCCTAGGTCTGCAAGCTTGTCCGCCCGTTCGTTCCCTTTGATGCCCATGTGCCCTGGGGACCATCGTATTCGCACGTCTCGAGTCTCCATCACCCCTTGGACGTTCAGGAACGCCCATTGCGATGATGGGGAAGCATTTCCGCGAAGACACCAGATGACTGATGTGCTGTCGATGCAAAGCCAGATCCGTCTCGCCGTCGGATAAGCGTGCACCACTCGTTCGAGGCCTTTCCATGCCCCTATCGCCTCTGCGTCAAAGACGTGGGAGCAGTCGTTGATAGAGCCGTACCCGTGGCTTGTCTCCTGTCGTCCTCGATAGACTACGTACCCGTAGCCTACCAGTCGGTTGCCTTGGTCGTACTGTTCTGACCCGTCTGAAAAGATCGTGATGTCCTCTGGCGGGAGCTGTTGCCACCATGCTTCGAATGCGGCAGCAGCTTCCTTCTTCGTTTTGCCGTCCGCCGGGTCCCGTCTGCTCCCCGATGTGAAGTGCGGAGGGACGAGGCGAGGGCGGGGAACGTCTGGGAGGAGAGTTCCTAGTCTTTGGATCTTGGTCTCGGGGATCCTAGTAGTCCCCGCGCCGCGACCGCGTTGTCGGATCCGCAGAGGTATCCGGCTGACCAGTGGGTGCTTGTCGTCCACCGTCTTCAGTCTCATTGCAAACCTAGCCTTAGCTTCTTCCAAGGCCGCAGTGCCGGAAGGGAGCCCGGCATCTCGAAAGAGCGTTGCCGTTGGTGTCGTTCTCCAGACCGGGAGTACCCCGCGCGCCGCGAGGGTTATCGTCTTATCAATGAGGTCAACCATCCCTCCGACCCGAGCGCTAACAACTTCTGGTCTTCCGGACTTGCAGATTGGGCGATAGCGCCCTGCGTACCACGCCTCCGTGCCGTAAAGCACCGAGGGCAGCACGCAGGTAGTAACTGCCTTGCGCAGTGAGGCCGCAGAAGGACCGTGGACTGTCCTGGCGAGACTGCGGATGTGCTGGGCGACTTTCCTAGCCTTGGCCGCCCGTTCCCGGACGTGTCGGCGGAACTTCAGCTTGCGGTCAAACCAGACCCCAAGCCATCGTATCGCAGGTGTGTCCCCGTCCCTCGGACCCGTGGTGATGCACGGAATGGTCATGGTATCGACCACGAGGGGGGGGGCATACGTGCCTTTCTTGCGAGAGAAGTGCATCATCTCGATCTTCTCCGGAGCGAAGGCGATCTTGTGAGTGTTACCCCACTCAATGATAGAATTGACATCGTCTCGAAGCATAGCGATGTTCCGGTCGAGGGTGCGACTGACGCGATACAAGCAAATATCGTCAGCGTACCCGAAGCGCAATGTCCGGTCCTAGTTGAGTAGCTCAGCCAAGTAGAGCATGTAGAGCACCGGTGATAGCGGGGATCCCTGCGGAGTGCCGCACTCTACGTCGTAGGTGTCCGTGATTTCTTTCTCCAGTCGGACCCTGACCTTGCGGTCTGAAAGAAAGGATTCCACCAGCTTAAGCAGTGGGTACGGCCAGCCCTGCTCCGTCATGCGTTTAAGGAGGCGACGGGTCAAGACCGCATCGAAGGCTCCTTGGACGTCCATGATGACCATGGTGACCTGGTATCCAGCTGCAAGTGCGGACTCGATATCGTGTGTTAAGCACGAAGCGAGGTCCAATGCAGAGCGCCGTAGGAAGGCTCCCGCGTGTTGTGGGCTAAAGACGTCGTTGGTGAGGGCAGTCCACGCAATTCTCTTCGCAACGATGCGCTCCAGTCCCTTGGAGATGCACGAGAGCAGAGCAATCGGTCGCCAAGAGCGGATAGAGGTCTTGTCCCTTTTCCCTACCTTAGGGATCATCGAGACCTCGGCGAGCTTCCACGCATCCGGGAAATGGTGAAGAGCCAGGCACCTGTTGAAGAAGCCATAGAAGAAGTGATGGACGTGTTGCCAGCATGCTTTGAGCAGTCGTACGGTGATCTTGTCCGTCCCGGGTGAAGTGCTTGTCACCCCGATCACGTGGGACTCTACTTCTTCTAGTGACACCGTAGTATCCCAAGGGAGCCGGCCAGTGCCTTCCCAGCTGGCGAGTGGATCGTAGTCGAGGTCGTCGGCGGCGCTGAACCGTCCAAGGATGCCTTCTCGCAGCGCGTCCGCCTTCTCTCTAGTGTCCTCGATGGCCTCGTCGTTGACTATTAGAGGGGGCGATTTCAGGTTCGGAGTGAGCTTGTGCCAGCTCATGACCTTGTACAGGTCTTGGTCCGATTTCACTCCGTCGATCACGTGGGTCCAATAGGCCCTCTTGGCTTTCCTGACTGTAGCGAGCCAGTCTCGCGTTTCTTGGGTCGGTTCTCCGTCGTACACTACGGAGCGCGCTGCCAAGTGTTTCTTGTACGCTGTCTGGCAGTTTGCCGTCCACCATGGTGCAGCCGTCAGCCCCTCCCGGGCGGGCTGTCCCGCAACTTCTAGGGCAGAGTTGAAGGCAGTGGCTAAGCTGATCGCAAGCTGATCGAGTTCCTCGGTGGAATGTATCGTCCACGGGTCGGGGAGTTGGTCTACGCCTAGCGCCACAAGCGAAGCGAATTTCTCGAGGTCCTGGTCCGGTACCCGGTATTGGAAGCGCTCTAAAGGAACGACTCCTCGGCTAGGGATAGTCGTGACTTGGGTCTCGTGGTCTGAGCCCGAATGGAGATCGGGGCGAATTGTCGTTTGAGCAAACGGGATATTTGAAAAGGTCAAGTCTAGAACGTGACCAGCTTTGTGGGTGGGGTCGCCCGGGAGTCCAATGTAGTCCATCCCACTAGCATTGGACCAGGCCGCAAGGTCTCCTCCTCGGCCCTTGGGCTCAACCCCTGGTTCGAACATGTCGTGCCACACATTAAAGTCCCCTCCAATCAGGCACTTGGAAGGAGGGACGAGGTGGGTGATGTAGTCTATAATCGGGTCCATCAAGGGTTGCCGATAGACGTTCAAAGTAGCGAAGCCGTTCACATCGACCCACAGGAGATCCCTGTTGCGAATAGAACGGCGTTGCTAGGTGCGAAGACCTACGCCCTTGCGCACGTAAGTCATCACTCGTGGTCGCTCAGCGAAGTACTGAGCATCGTCTTGACTATCCCACGATTCTATCGGAGCATAGCATTCGTAAGACGGGTGGTTCTGGGTTTTGGTGCCCGAGTGCGTGTACGGCTCTTGGACACAGATAACGTCAATGTTTGCCGAATAGCAAAGGTGGAGTAGGGCAATGTGGTGTGGCTGCCCCTTGCCTACGTTCGCCCAACAGACTTGGATTTCTCTGAAGGGCTGTCGATTGCGGCGAGTGCCGCGGTGCCGTGTCGGCGTGCTTAACATGTAGAGTTGTTTTGGGCATCCCAGCCAGCAGCAATGCTCGAGCCTCCTACAGACGAGGAGGATGAGCTGGTAGTATTGTCCACGTGATAGTCCGATGTCGCCATTAGCGTGTCCCCTCCTTCGTCTATGGCAGAGAAGGCGCTGTCCATCAGAGTCTTTTCGTTGAGGTTCTTGCGCGTAGCCGTACTGCGCAGAGGTCTCGTAGCTTGCGTAGAGGACTGAGAAGAGGATTGTGAGGAGACGGCCTGGGAGGAGGTCGCTCGCTCGTGCTCTTGCACCGCAAGGGCGCGTCTTTTTCGGGGGGGAGCCGCGTTGACACCGGTGGCAGGAGTCTCTGGTTGAGAAGCCGGGGTCGGTTCGTTCTCCTCCGTCACAGGAGCAGTGGCAATGGCGTAGGCCTGGGCTCCTAGTCGTCGGACGGCGCCCAGCTCCTTCTTGGTGAGAGTGATCACCTTGCCGTTGACTCGCTTGGGAGCCGCAGGGCAGTTCTTGTGACTGGCCTCGTACGGGCCGTGGCAGTTTGCACAGCGAAGGGGTGCCGTGCAGTCTTTGCCGTCGGGCCCGTCGTGCTGGTCTCTTCGCTCGCCGCAGTAGGAGCAGCGTGCGTGCCGAGTGCACCTGGCCGGGTTACACCAGCCGAGGCAGCCAGGGTCGTGCCTCTTGATAGGTTGCTTCTTGTCGACCAACCGAGAGTAGCTGCTGCAGCCGAACAACCTAAAGCTGCGGACCTCCTCTAAGAAGGAGACCATCCAGCAGGTCAAGCCGGTCGCCGGGTCGGCTCCGTGCTGAGAGATGCGGACGCTCACCGGGGCTCTCCCGGCCTGGGCCAGGATCTCCTCGTCGATATGCTCCGCCGTCCTGAAAATCTCACCGAAGAGGCCCCTGATTTCGGCAGGGACCCCCTGGACAGCGTACGTGTACCATTTGACCGGGATAGTCGCTCCCGTGGCCCCAAGAACCTCTTGGTACACCTTTTTGGCCTCGTCTGTGATAAGGAGGTCCCTCGCTTTGAGGTTGATCGGGGTGAGTGCCCAACCCGTGCGAGTAGCCTCAAGACGAGGGATGGTGGTTATGTCGACGCCGTCCAGTTTGTCGGCAATGGCCTTGCGGGCGGCGTAGCTGTCGGGACGAGCTAGGAGTGCGGCGGAAGGTACCTGAATCAGGACTCGCTTGTCTTGGCGTGTCTTGGGTTGTTCGCTAAAAGACTTGCGAGTGGCCTGAGAGCTCGTAGGCTTGCGGGTCCCTGCAGGTCCTATTCCTATAACGGAAGAGGATCGGGACAGCTTGGCGATTGCCGACTGAGCGGCAGCCCCTGAGTTTTTCAGGGTCTTCGAGGGCCCCGCGGAATCTGCCCATAAGACAGACTTGGAGGGGGCCGTTTGCTCGCTGCTATGAGGAGCGGTCGAAGGAGGAGGGGGAGTGGCTGCCCCGGTGGTTGCGTGTGAATGAGTACGCATAAACGTAAGGAGACTCTTAGAGAACTCCTGCGCATAGTGTCGAGATTCGGGGTCAGGTTGGTCGTCCACAATCCAGTCCGAAGCGGAGGCGTATTGCTGCCAGACACGTCGTTTGATAGCAGCCGCGCGGTCGATGTCGTCGAAGTAGCTCTCGATGGCCTTCGTCGCCGTGTTGGTAGTCGGTGCTCCTCGTCCTAATACGAAAGGAGGGGGCTGCAAATTGATAGCAGCGTTCCCTCTTCTCTTCTTGGAGTGCTGGGTAAAGTTGGACGGCGATGCAGCGTCTTGAGGCCGTGTATAATCGGCGTTGTTAGTGTTGTTGTTGTCCGCGGAGGACCGAGATGGAGTGACGGGAACCATTTCTCGAGCTGTGCGGCGAGCGCAACGAGCTATTGATCTGGTTCCAGCGGATTCCTGGGGAAACCGTATTCCAGGAATCGAATGCAATGAAAATCAAGTCGTTGTGAGCAAGTTGAAAATTTCGTGTTGAATAATTAGGATGGCGTCGGGTGAGCAAGCGTGTGAAAAGGCATCTTGCGGTTTTGAGGTCAGTTGAAAAATCACCTCTGTGGTTCCCAGGCCAGGAATGGGTTTAAGGTGATCTAACGGCGTTAGCTGTAAGCAGGTTCATATTAGCTACGAGGGGGAGAGAGAGAGACAGAGGTGGCCGTCTTTCTGGTCAGGGAGGGGATGCTGATATGATTTTCAAAGGGACGCGTAGGTAGAGTAGACAGACATCTTAGTTTTGATACAAGGGACAAGGGAGCATGACTGACTCCCGGCAATTATGGTGATGTGTAAGGCAGTTCGTTCGACAACAAAACGGCGCAGAGAATGTCGAAATCCAGTCCTGGGGGCGGCGGCGACTCCTTGATTAGATTGGGACTCGGAGACATGTAAGGAGTATTGGACTGGATCCAAGCCTCACTGCGATCATCCAGCCATGCCGCCCGTATACTGACGGAGCCTTTGCCGGCTTTTGGTAGCTGTAAGGTGTGTTGAGTTTCTGTCACGCTTCTAGCTGCATGTGTTTTGAGTCTGAGATCGAGCATGAGCAGGGAATTGTCGTCTCTGGGACATACCATTTGGCTTCTTTGACAGTATAGAACGAAGAGACGGAAGCTAATGTTGTGATACTCCGTAGATTTTGATCAAGGTGCCAAGAGCCCCTCAAGGTTTTCGCTTCGGCTCTGCCCCACTCTCTCTGGCCTTCTTCCAACCTCACTCGAACACCTCGAACACCTCTTCCAAATCAACGGCTCCTTTTAGATTCGAAGACATCAGAGAGAAACTCCAGATGAGGATTCACTCTTCGCGGATTGAAAAAACAAAACATATATCCGTATCTTCTTCACCCTGCATAACGAGAACTAATGTATTTCTGAAGTCACGGTACTCCAGATTCCTGTAAAATGACAAGTGCATATTTTTATTTTCGACATTGTCTTCATGTCGAAGCCTTACTACAACTGATATTCCTTCCTCGCAGTTTAATCAGGCCACCTTCCTCGAGCGGAACATTCCTCCCCTTCAAAAGCAGTCACACACTTTCCCAGATTCCCTCAGACAAAATATGTGCTTCTTCTCTGCTGCATATCCATCCCCCCTACCAAAGAGAAATATTCTGGTATTCCCATATATCTAAAAGAAAAAAGACAGAGAGAGAGAAATTGGCAACATACAGGCATTGAAAAGTCATTCAATCGGAATAGAAAGTTTAGTGATACGTCATCGTCATATCAGTATTTTGACTCCAAACCCGCGAATTTATAGATACACTTGGATATGTAGTCTCGTTCTGCGTTGCCTCAAAGCGTATCAACAGAACAATCCCAACCCAGCAATAGAAGGCGAAAAGAGAAAAAAAGAAAAAAGAAAAGAGGATATTAATTCTAGACAGACGCGTAGATACTGGACTCTTCGTACTTGATGCATGAATAGAAAAAATAAAGAAAGAAAGCCGAGTATTTCTCTGCCTAGATTCAGCTGTAGTTGAATTCACCCTTGGAAAAAAGAAAGGGGAGACGGCTGGCTTCTCGCTAGTCGGCTACCGCCTGAAAAAAAATCTTACCGGCTTTATATAACTAGATGCGAATACTGTTATTGTCAACCGGGAGACGCACGCGATGGCTCAGTGGCTTAACAGCTGCATGGCTATCCGAACTCTGTCCGGTTGATACACACAGGTAAAACCTATTCAATTAGGTTTGTAAATGGAGAACCTTGTGACAGACATCCCGCTGTTATGAGCTTCCCAGTTGAGTTTTGCAGTTTTCTTTTTCTATTTTTGCAACTTTTTTTTTTCCTTCTCCCCATGTTGAGAGGGTTAGTTAATGGCCGGAACGCAAAGTGTATGTATGTAGTACGCAGTGGTAGCATGAAGCGGGAACAAGTGGCACTTACTCGATCGGAACTCTACAATGGCAATAGAACAAGAACATCGGTCAATTTCCATAGGTTGTCTGCCAATCTTTGCCGCAACAAGGACATCGTTGCTAGCCACTGATTCATGGATGTCTTCTGCCAGCCATCCAAACATATTTTCGAGACCATCGTAACTTCAAGCCTCACCTCAAACTCTCAGAAAAGCACCGGTCGTCTCCCTCGCCAGCTGTACCCTCCAGAGGTTCTGTTCAGCACAGAGAAACATCTCTCCATCCTTCCCAAAACAAAAGTTGGCCACGCCACCGGGGACCAGAATCCTGCCAATAAGACTACCAGCAGGGTTCCAAACCTCGACACCATCGCCGCAGCCGGAATACACGTTACCATAGACGTCACATTTGATGCCATCTGGGAAGCCCACCGCAGCAAAAGCGAACAGCCTCTTATTAACAAGAAACTGGCCTCCCGAGATGGTTTGAACGTCATATGCATAGATAGTCGAAGCCCTATAGTCGGATTAGCTAGATTATCAAATTCTAACAGAAGAACATACCTCGTAGTATCCGTACTCCCATCCCCATGGATATGATCCGTATCAGTAATGTACAACGTCTTCTCATCCGGACTAAACGCAAGCCCGTTCGGCCTCCCCAGCCCATCAGCCACAACTCTCAAATCGCCCGTACCAGGCTCAAACCGATAGACATGGCACGGCAACTTGGGTCTCTGTCGGAAGTCCTGTTCGTGTCCATAACACGGATCCGTGAACCATAGCGCCCCATCTTTGGCGACCACCACATCATTCACACTGTTAAAGTCCCGGCCATGGAATCTGGTCACCATTGGCTTAGGCGCAGCTCCTCTAGGCATGTAGTGGATCCCGCCTGTGCCAGATGTGGCTTGTCCCTGTGCGCAGAAGAGGATGCCGTCTTGGTAGTTGACGCCGCCGTTGGGCATATCGATACCAGGTGGGGGACGCATCTTAGCCCACTCTACGGTGTGTACATTGTTGGAGCCGCTGAGGCGGTCGGTGCGGTGCAGCTTGATGCGAGAGATGAGGATGGTGGGGTAGTTAGAGGTGGAAGTTGATTGCAGGAGGTTGGAGGTTGTATAGAGCTCATCGTGGGCGGGGAGGAAGACGCAAGCTTCGTGGAAAAAGGGGTTCTTGGATGTCCCAGATGTTGAGAGAAGAAGGGAGTGAGTCGGAGAGGGACCGATGAGCTCGCCAAATTCAGGTGCGTATTGCAGGATAGTCAGATCGTCTTGGGGAGGCGGCGCAGTTCTGGGTGGTGTTAGTCGCAGAAGAGTATTGAGGGGGATGACGGACTTGATTTTCCCACTGCTCTCTGCCAGACGATCCACAATCTGATGAATCAGACATCGCATTAATTGTGAATTTCTAGCGACATACCTGAACGACTGTAGGAAGAACTGGAATATCTGCGTTGGTGATAGCTGCCATTTTGGTGATGTTGACGCGGGACAAAAGCAAACTGGAAGATGATGGACGTGACGAGCGAAAACGGGGCTGAAACAGGTTTTAATAATTACAACCTACAGTTATCTATACTATTGATTGATCTCTAGCGTAGAATAGGAACACGATACGCTTGGAACTCGAAGTCGGTACTGTTGACCATTGGGAAGGCTGTTGGGAGAAACAGAACTGTCTTTACGGAATAGGTTGAGGACCTGAGCGCGAGTGAACAACGGAGCCATCTATCCGTCTGGCTTTCTACATTATCTATGAACGGAATTTTCAAGAAATTTAAACATATCGCGTACACATCTTTCAGTCTCATCATAATTCCGAGCCATTCTCCTCAGTCTAATCACTTGTTTAAGCATTGACTCGGGTAGTCTTGTGGAAATATAGCGAAATTTATGCAAGTAATAAACCAGGCACCCGGAGCATTACAGAGCTTTCTGGATCTGATATAACGAGACCAACAGCGTCCAGCTGTGGTGCTGTGTCCAACGGAGAGAGTACAGTCAAAGTATCATAGCAGTTTTGCCGAATTTTCAGTAAGGCCTGCCATGGACCCAATTGAGATGTGAAGCCTTAAGTCGTTTGAGACATGCTCGATATTTTGACAATCTCCATAGAGCGTTCTTCGCAAGTAGTATCTTCGAACCACAGGGCCACCGGGCGGTCCGCAGACCAATTCCATCAACGGATGCATTCTATAATCCTCGTAAATATACACCGGAAAGGTCTTCCTAGCACCAAAGACCACATCCTTCATCCCCAACTGCCAGGTTATCCACCTATTGAGCCGGCTTGCTGCCCTTCTTCGCATCGGCCTCGGCGTTCTTCAGGAAGTCCCTAAATGACATTAGACCAGGTTCAATGGTGCCAATCATGTGGCAGATCTTGAATGGCTACGCAGAGCACTTAAACGTACGTAATGAAGCTCTCCTCAGCTGGACTTTTGGCGTTCAAAGGTGGTGTTGCACCTGCAACCTTCTTTGCGGACGATCCTCCCATCGAAAAGTAAGCCCCAGATGAGAGCACACCAAGGGTGATCATGGCAAGCTACTCTCCCGATTCAATCAGCACACTGTTCAGAGAATCCCCAATGCTTCCATGCTTTCCCAATCGATCCCGCCAAAATTTCAACAGCTTGCTTTGCCTCCAGGAACGAGCGGGATGACGAACCACGTGGGAGCCGACTTGCTTGCCAGCAATAGTGTACATTTGGACCATCTTGAAGGAAAGAGGTTGTGGGTATGTGAAGTTGTGTAGGTGAGATTGGTGGGTGGATGGAGCTTTGCCGTTGTCGATGGCTTCAATCTCAATTGTTCGAGCTCCAAAGCTTGGCGCGCGTCTATCAGACCAGCGCCTGCCATAGTGGGTCCCTCTCTTCCGGACTCAGCCGAGCTACAGCATCATCATGTATTCCTGGCCCCGAGATGTAGCAACCAACGTCAACCACTCTCTATCCCACGCGATAGATTCGGGTCTGAACTTTCAATCGAGTTTATAATTTCGAAGAGCCTCACAATGTCTGGAAAGGACTCCGACAAACGAGAACCCAAAGGGTCACCTCCAACTGGACTTCCAGCTCGAGAGAAGTTACCTGCGGAATTTCAGAAGATCATAGACAAGGCAGATAGTGACGAGAGCTTTTACGACGAGCTTTATGATGGAGTGTAAGTCAGGAAATTACTATAGATTTGATTCGCGGTCCAGTACAGCCATGAATATCAACTGACATCTACCAGTGCCCCTCAAGTGAGTAGACCCGTCTTAGTGGACGTCCCCGGATGGAAATCAACTCTGGGATTCCACACTTCCAGATATGCTCTGACTCTGAGAATATGGAGAAATTGGTGCTGATCTGCCGATAGTCAACAGAAAGCAACATACGATACGCCGCCTATGCAAGCCGCATACGAACAGCACTCCTCTCCGCCCAAAGATACGTTGCCTACACTTCAGATATCGGGGAATCTTTTCGCCCAGTCGCCCATCCTAACTGGGTAAAGGCCGCGTACGGAGTCTCGTGGGCTTATCTGGTCGGAGACGTAGCGCACGAGGGGTACAAGGCCTATTGCAGCAACCAACGAACCCTCCACCCAGAACTACCCCGAGAAGCAGCGACGGAGCGATACAACGATGCACAAACAGATATTAAGGTCGTGGCGGCATATGCAGGCGTCGATCTGGTACCAAAAACGGTGACGGCTTTAGAGGATTACCGGACAGTCATGGCTCAGAGGGCACTTTTCCAAGGGATTGCGTCTATGGGTCTTCCGGCCTTCACTATCCACTCCATCGTGCGGTATTCTGGCCAAGCGCTGAAGAAGTCAAAAAACGTCAGGCTGCGAACATACGGCCCTATTGGCCTGGGCTTGGCAGCAGTACCTGCGCTGCCTTTTGTGTTTGATAAGCCTGTCGAAGAGGCTGTCGAGTGGGTTTTCCACACGGCATTCAAGGCATTCGGAGGGCAGAAGGCTGTAGGAAATGCGTCACCAACTGGCAGAGAAGACATGCTAGAGCACAGAGCCGAGAGTTCTACTTCCAGTGGCGATCGCAAAAAAGATGCCATAAAGGAGAAAGAATTGTGAGATGTTATTATGGGAACGCGGAACACAGTACACGACAGCATGGCGTTTGGGGAAAGATCTCAGCTTTAGGCCATGTTTTGGCTCTGTTTATAGGAACACCACTATTTTATACTACGGCCCACTCGGCCCTTTGAAATGATCAATGGCAGATCGCATGGAACGCTACCGATGCCGTCTCTACACAGCCCCCAACTCTACCCACGCAAGATCTATACATTTCGAGAAAGCTGTGGCGCCCGATGGCCCCCTTGTCTATCTGAGGATCTCGAGAAAGCTTCTCGGCTTCACTTTTGAAGCGTTTTGAACACTACCGTTCTCAAAAGAGAACGCCGATTTAATCGCGGTGATAGGGGTGCGGTACGGTCTTGGAAAGCCCAGTCTGGCATCCATGTTGGGAATCGGGCTTCTACCGTACTGCTAGGCAATGCCGCCCACCGAAGGATGACAGCATAGCACGTCCAAGGAACCCTCCAACACGATACAATCTTCTACGGCGTGCAACTTGCCGAAAGGACGCTGAGCAGGTCTGTTCTGTAGTCTTGCTAGGGTTCGATTACGGCCATGTATGTAGGACGGACTAGAAAGACTGTCCTGTCCGTACGTGGAGGGCTCAACACTTTATCTCTCAGGCGGGTCCGTAGCGAGAGAGAGAGACCCGGATGAGGGAACGAAGCTAGTTTTTAATTGTAGCGAACGAGACTCTGTATCGCTGAGCAGTGAGCAGCGAGCGAGATTCCGATGAGTGAGTTCGATATTTATTTGGCTTAGAGCTAGCTGCAGACGGACATCTCAGGCTGGGTCGAGGGGGAAAAAGAGTAAACAAGGTCAACGGGCGTTAGCCGACGGTGGAACAGCAGCAAGATCAAACTTTTGATGATAACACTTCAACTGCTTGTCGTTCAAGTTGCCATCCGTCGTGTGATCTGGTTGAAGCATGTGTCGAACCCAGTCCTTGGTCCCATATCGAATTCGTACGTATTTGGGTACGTTTGAAATTCTTCTGCGCCGGCTCCAGAAGCGGTGGAGTGGGCCCAAGGTCTTCTTTGCCGTCTACTTCAATTGGTCCGCCGAGCCAGACGACGACAGATGAGGCCCGTTGATAGACTTCCTTCATCAAGGGAACTTGTGGGTTACGCTCCTCTGTGTCTTCTTGATGGCTCGTAAGCTGTATCGGATAAAAGTTATTCTGATCTCCTTAGAACCAACCAAGATACGTAGTTTTCATTCTTTTCTTTTCCTCCTCCTTTGCATGCTTGCTTCCAGGTTGCGGACACACACACATATACAGCGACGGATCCCTTATAACGATCACCACACCTGCCTCCCCCACTTCTGGCACCCCGCGCACTTCTCGTGCTCGCACCTGCTACACGCCGAGGCGTCTTTGGCGTTTTGCGCACCGCACTATACAATATCATCATCAACTCCCATTCCCTCCTCTCTCTCCTCCTCATCCTCCTCTTCCACTGGCTGCGCGAGTAGGAGCTTACAGAGTGAGATTGCCCCGGCACGTATGAGCAGCAGCATATCCAGAACTCCCCAGGCACGACCTTAGGCGTCCTCGTGCGGTAGTGGTCGTGCTTGTGGCTGTATACCGCATTTTCGCCAAAAGTCTGGGTCGAAGCGGATATTGGGGAGGATGATGGAGAGGGCCTTGCTGATGAACGGCTTCCTCCTGGTGAGGAGTAAATTTGGGTGTATTGATCGAACATCTTCGGGTTCTCGGAGGAGGATGAGCGGTAGGAAAAAAGAAGAAACAGGTGCAAGGAAGGAAGGAGGATCAGGACTTGGGAGGGAGAGTTAGTTGTAAACAGAGCACATCACGCGATCTGTTGATGTAGACGTGGACGGAGGTGATAGGCGCGATGCATCAGACACCACCAACTTGGCTGTGATTCCTCTCGTGATTGAAAGCGCTCTTTACTTCATCTCGCGTCGATCCTGACTGGTATGTTCTTTGGTGACTTACGAGTTTTGCAAATCACACGGCCAGAGCCGCACCCCGATCAGGGGCCTGCGTATCATCAATCCAATTCTCCCAGAACTTCAGCCCCTCGATCCCCTCCTCCCTACAGAGCGCCCCTTTCTCCTCAGCCATCTCAAGCTCCTCCTCCGCAACTCCAATACTCCAGCCAAACCTCTCTGCTGCATCCTGCGCTGTAACGCCTCTACCAAAAACCTGCCAGTCCCACTCTACTTCTCTGTCGGGTGGGAAGACATGAAGATCGTTGAGCCAGGCGAGTAGTGTCTTGATCGTCTTTTCATCCGTGCGATCACTGCCTTGAACAACGAGGACACCGCTTTTGAATTCGCGGAGTCGAACGGGGAGTTTCAGTTTCTCCCACAAGCGAGCGGCTTTCTCGAAATCGAGAGGACTAACGAGTTCCACGCCGCCGCGGGCACGATTGAATACTGCCCAGAGATCGACTAAACTCACAATACCGCCTGATTTGCGGAGGACACCTCTCGCGTCGTCGGTAAGGAACTCAGCCAGGTTACGGGAGAGTTCGGAGATGTATAGGGATTCTGAGTTGCTCCCTCCACCCAGCATATCCTTTGTGGTGACCAAGCCAAGAGCGTTAGCTACTGCGTTCGATTCGGCGCCTCCGACTCCGTTTGAAGAGGCGAACGATTCGGCCAAGGCGACGATCTCTTTAGCAGACGCCATCAAGGCTTCAAGGTCTTCGAATGCGTTACCGATCACCAGCTCGTTGTTCTTGCGCATGTCGATACGGCGCTGTTCGAGACCGGCAATTCCGACAGTCTTTACTCGTTCTCCCGATGGCGTTGAGGATCCGGACCCAGACCTTTCACGTTCTGCAGCAGTGGGAACCGGAGGTGCACCTTGTAGGAGCCATTTACGCTGTTGCATGGCGCCCTTCAGACGTTCGAACAGTATAGGGCCTCCTCCTGCACGAAATGACAGTTTGAAGCTCTCGCTATTTTCGGGGCCGGGGAGAGACATAGTTTGAAGGGTTGGTCCAGGGGACTCTGTCCGCGCAGCAGAATTGTCGAGCCCTGCGGGTATGTTTTGGGATATTAGAGGCGCACCACACAACTCACAGGACACTAGGGAAGGATGGTTCAGAAATGTACATCGGGGGCACTGAAATGATGGCCCTGTGCCTGTCTGGGGTTTAGTTTCCAGGCCAGAACTGCTGCAGCCCATATCTGGCCATGCATCTGACTGAGGTCCGGGACCGTCTGTCTTGCCCCGAAGTGGTAGAGGGGCCCTCAATGGGACTGGAGGTGCTTGCACCGCCCGATTTGTAGCAGCAGTAATGGCAGCCTTCATAACCAGTGCATATGTTGGCTTGATTCCACATGCTAGACATGGAGCCAGCGGCGTCCTTTCGTTCGCAGAGTATGGATCGAAGTTCGAGGGTACTGGGTTCGAGAAGGAGCATATTGTACAGATCCAAGTCGCAGCACTCGCAGGTATTGGATCTGGTGCTGGCAGATGGAACGGAGCATCTGTACGTGCTGGCGATGCGGTGGCGCTTCTGGACGATGTACTGAGATTTGATACGGTTCGATTTTGAATAGGCGTTCCTTTGAAAGGCTTGGGGACAAGAGTAATCTTGGGGGATGATTTCAAAAAGCCACCCTGCCAAAAGTTAGATATCCATAAGCTGGTTGATCTCTCAAGGAGCTCAAAGATAAAAACATGCATAGAACTCGTATCTCTCTACATCTTTCAGATCAATGGCGGTGGAGTTCTTTCGTGGGTCTCCATTGTCAACATAGCATATCCGATGTGAGGTTAAATATACCGAGCCATTCTGGTGGTTTGGGATCTTGAACTTCCTGCAGGGAGCCTTCTTAGCCTCTGGCTTCTGGACTCTATTCTTTGTTTGCATGCAGGATCCCGAGGTGGCCATCCTGAGTCAACATACCCCTCATAGAGTCCCACATTGTCCTGCACGAAAAGCAAGACCTCATCCGGGAGATAGGCTGGTCTCAGGGCAGTAGTGAGTTCGATGTGCTTTAGAAACATCCGGCCCAGCCAGTGCTGCGGACGGTGGGAGTTGGCGTGGGCGTGGAAGTGGAAATGGGAGTGTAAATGGTTGAGTGAAGAGGATATACTTTGTAATATGCCGGCATGGATACGAAGCAAACGAGGAAGAGGGGCAATGTTGTGTGAGTGTTATTGTGTTATCGGCTTATCGGCTGGCTTATCGACTGTTTGTTGGTGATTCAAACTGCAGCGTGCCGCAGAATATTCTGACACGCTAGCCCGGTAGCCTGGTAGCCTGAGCGGCTAAACACCTGACCGACATCTGGCCGACATGGACGGCCACATTCCAACGCCCCGACTTTGTCTTTCCCCCCGACCTCCCTTCTCCCTTCCTCACATAAGACCAGTCACCTCCAACAATCTCCGACCTTACTAACACCAGCTGCATCCATCTTGTTCCTCCTCTCAATTCCTGAATGTTCTCCGCCATGAATACCACTTGGCCGCCCGTCCCGCCCCCCGCAGGAACACAGGCCCAGTATGGCTACCAGCAAGGTAAGAGAATCATAATCTGCTGCTTTCCGCACCCCATGCTTCCGTTCTCGTGCTTCAGCTCCAATAGAACCCACGGCAATAATACAGACTACCTTCACTTCCTGAAAGATGCTTTCTAACACCAAGACAGGTACACCAGCTTACCACACAGTCCAAGTCCGACAGTCCTTTGCCCCCCCTTCCAACTACGTGCAGCAACCACCTCTAGCCCAGAGGCCCATAGGAACCCCTCAACCCGAGAAGAAAAAGGTAGCCTGGCCGCCGTCCGTCCGTCTCTACGTGCAGAGATCATTTGAGCAAGCCAATCTCCTCGACGATGTGACGCGACCAGAAATGGAGGCGAAGCTGAAGCAGACAATCACTGAAGCCACAGAGGCCGGCACGCTAGAGACAATGGATTGGGAAAATCTACCTCTTCCACAGCACTTGATCCGGATCGACCGGGCTCAAGCTTCAGCTATCTCATGGCAGATGGAGTCTCTGGATGCGCGGATTGGGGGAGTCGGGAAAGCCAACGTGCACATAACTCCCACTTTATCGAAGAAGCGCAAGTCACAGGAAATGGGTGGAGATGACAATTCTATGCCCCCTTGGCGCAACACTAACAACCGTATCGAAGATCGGATCACCCAACGCAACCAGCCATCCCAGGAGGAAAAATTAAGTAAGTCCCAGAAGAACCTGGAGAAGCGGCTACGTCGATTTGATGGCGGATACAAATCTACCTACAAGCCATCCCCATCTCCCGAACCAATATCCGGCCCTGTGGTGGGAACTTGCAAGATTCTCGAAAAGCAATACTTCCGCCTCACCTCCGCCCCCATCCCCTCGCATGTCCGACCTGAGCCAATCTTGAGACAAACACTAGATCTGCTGAAGAAGAAGTGGAAGAAGGAGGGCAACTACTCTTACATCTGCGATCAGTTCAAATCTCTACGACAAGATCTTACCGTGCAACGTATCAAGAACGAGTTCACCGTCAGCGTCTACGAGATCCATGCCCGGATTGCCTTGGAGAAGGGGGATATTGGTGAGTATAATCAATGCCAAACGCAACTTCGAGCTCTCTATGCCCACGGTCTGGCAGGCAGTGAAGTCGAGTTCAAGGCATATCGTATTTTGTATTTCATTCACACATCTAACCGCACCGCATTGAATGATGTGCTGGCGGATCTAACAGCAGCAGAGAAAGAAGAAGAGGCCATCAAGCACGCGCTTGGTGTGCGGTCGGCTTTGGCGTTGGGCAACTACCACAGATTTTTCAGACTCTACCTCGACACACCCAACATGGGCGCCTATCTCATGGACATGTTCGTCGTCCGAGAGCGCCTCATGGCTCTGTCAAGTATTTGCAGATCGTATGTTTCTCTCTCCCAGTCTGAGAGCGCTATGCTAACCAATCGCAGGTACAAGCCAGATCTCAAGCTGAGATTCATCACCGAGGAGCTTGGTTTCGAGTCCGACAGCGATGCGGTATCGTTCATCTGCGAATACAACGGCCAGCATCTTCTCGAAGAGAAGAATGAAGAACTACGTTTCCTCGCCGGCAAGGCAGGCAATATCTTCGAGGTAGCCAAGTGTGAGGCATTCCGAAAAATCGACATCAAGGGCCAAATCTAACCATCCCTCTTCGGCTCCCACTCCCACATCCTACGTGCTGTCTTTTTCCAGCTTCAATTTCGGAGCTTTCTTCCCGTTTCCTTCAGACCAGCTTTCACTGGTATCTCTGCCGCGAACACGATGATGACTGGTACCATTGCTTCGAGGTGACCATCTCGGAGGATCGGGATCCTATTAACCATCTACGTACCTTTGTGTTCACACGGGTTGGATGGCGGATTCTCATCTCTTCGTATATTTCATCAGGTGATGGACACGATTCTTCGATGCCTGCGGCTCCGCACCAAAATTTCCTTTCCAACCTGACGACTGGCTGTTTGTTATACCCTCTTCTGCGATGTGTTTTCACGAATTGGCTCCCGGCGTTGGTGGACTCGGTACTCGCATAGGTTCTGGCAGACAGAGCAGCTCGTATTGGTTGGAGGTCACTTACATTGGGCGACTTACATTGGGCGGTTGGTATGGCACTGCATTGTATATACAAGCGCTGTTCCCTGCGAAGTCTTCGTCCCCCATCTGGGATAATACATAATGAATTCAATAATCTCACTATGCTGACTGACTGGCTGTAAGTGCGATCGCCAACACGGATGAAGTGATAAAAGAAGTGGCTGTCCACGCCATGCCTCTTCTTCCACGGCGGTCATCCCGCTTTGGGGTTTTTTTTTTTTTTTNNTTTTTTTTTTTTTTTTTTTCTTTACTTTTGATTCTCCTCTAATCCATCCGCTCTGTATTGTTCGCACTTGCTCGATGCTCGTGGAAGCAAATACCTAGGTGAAGGGTAGCAGTGCCAAGGCGGTATAGTGCAGGGGCTCTTTTTTACGCGGTGTATCTTCGGTCCCAACTCCCCAATCCATCAACGTCGGCCATATCCTCCATATCCACCGAGAGAGAGAGAGAGAGAGAGAGAGAGCCCGGGCCGCCCTATCCCTTACCTCCCCCCATTATTACGTGCCTTTTCTCTCACCTTCCTTTCTTTCTCTTACATCTACCACCCCCTAACAGTATTTCTCAATCCGTTTTCGAATCCATCGCATCTCATCTCATCTCATCTCATCTCATCCCTCTCTGCACTTTGCGATTCGCTATTTGCGCTTTACAATCTCTCAATTACCCCCCCCTCGGTAGGTACGCTGGCTGAGCTTTGAGATGAGAACTTGCAATGGCATACGGTACCTATGTCTACCTACTCTGTACTTTACATTACTCTACTCTACTGTACTGTACTGTACTGTACTGCACTTAACTTTACATTCCCCTATTCTACCCTACCCAGGTAAGGTTACCTATCTATCTATTGTATCTATCTAATTCTCTCTCTCTCTTATCGGGCGTTTGGTTTTGAGGCTTGACTTTGATTTCACTTTACTTTGACTTTGGTTTACTTTACTTTGACTCGATTTACTTTGACTCGATTTACTTTGACTCGATTTACTTTGACTCGATTTACTTTGAATTGGTTTACTTTAGCTTGACTTTATTTTAATTTACTTTACCTTGACTTGACTTTGACTCGATTTACCTTACTTTACTTGACTTTACTTTATCTTGACATGACTTACTTAGTACTTTACTTTGATTTGAGTTGATTTGACTTGACTTTACCTTGATTTGACTCGACTTTACCTTGATTTGACTTACTTAGTACTTTACTTTGATTTGACTTGACTTTACCTTGATTTGACTCGACTTTGATTTGAGTTGAGTTGATTTGAGTTGAGTTGAGTTGTTTTGAGTTAAAGTAAAGTAAAGTAAAGTAAAGCAAAGTGTAAGGGGTAAAGAATGCTTTACTGTCCGATTTTACATACATATAGTACATACGTAGTGTAAGACTTTAGCTAGCGCGATGCGGCGCTGGGAGGCTAAGTAAGAAAGATAGGTAGGTAGGTAGGTAGGTACGAAGGTAGATATTGGTACAAGAAAGAGGTTCTGGGGGCGGGTAGGCGGGGAAGGGCAGGGCGGGGAAGGGCAGGGATGGTTTGCTTGCTGGGTAGGTAGGTAGGTAGGTACCTGCTTGACGGGAATGAAGGGTGTTGATATTAGTATCAGTATTGGTATTAGTATTATTACTACTACTATTATAAAGATAAGATGATATAGTAGTAACATACGGTAATACGGAGTCGTGATCATCTACTGGTCGTTAAAAATATATATTCGTGTACCGGTATATGTATGTACCCATAAACTACTTACTAGATTACTCCACCCGGACTACCCACCGTACCTACCACGTGAAACTCTCCTCGTGGAGCTGGATCCTCGTCCCGGCCACGCCCTCACACTCCACGACCCACCTCCTCACCTCGTCCGCCAGGCCGCCCGACGCGGACACCAGGACGGCCAGCCGCTTCGCGGCCTGCGCCTCGCTCTGGACCAGCGCCGGCACGTCGACCCGCTCGCCCTCGGTCGTGCACCGCCACACGAACACGACGCCCAGGGCCTCGGCGTCGGCGGGCAGCAAGGCGCGGACGACGGGCGCGAGCTCCCTCTCGCGGTAGGACCAGGCGAGGACCAGGCGGCGGGCGGCCATGGCCTGCCGGCGCCGCGCCTCGACGAAGTGCTGCGTGTACGCCGTCAGCGCCGTGATGCCGATGCCGCCGGCGATGCACAGGATGGCGTCCGCGCGGGAGAGGTCCGCGGCGTGGCCGTGCGGGCCCTCCAGCGAGAGCGGGAAGTGGGTGGGCGTGGGGAGGGCCGCGAGCTCGCGCTGGATGGTCGACGTCATGCCCTTGTGCGGCCGGATCAGGAAGGTGATGCTCGGGCGGCCGTCGCCCGTGTACGTCGTCGTCGCCGTCGCGTGCGTGGCCGGGCGGGTCTTGGTGGGCAGGGAGGAGGACGACGTCGACGACGAGTCGTTGCCGGCGGGCGCGTGGGAGATTTCCATGTCGGCGTCTTTTTCGGGGTCGCGCTGCTGCGGCGAGGAGGCGGCTTCTTCTGTCACCTGCGAGGAGGGTGATGATGATGACGATGATGAGGAGCCGTGGTCCCACGCGGCGATGGAGAAAGGGTGGTTCTCCCAGAAGCGGCCGGTCGATGGGAAGAACAGGAAGGCGTGTTGCCCGGGTCCGAAGGTCCATTTCTTGCCCGGGTAGACGGTGAGCTTGATGAAGTGCCCGCCCGGCGTGAGTTCGGCCACGGCCTGCGTCGTCGTACCCCACATGTTGCGGTATCTGGCCAGTCCGAATCTCGCCAGGCGATCAAAGGACCAGAATGCGATGCAGATGTACAGCCATACTTCATAGCCCCAAGAGGTACCAAAGCGGAGTTCGATGTGGTACCAGCAGCCAATGAGGACCATGATAGCCATGATGACATGAGCGACGAGGAATATCTCGTACTGAGCCTTTCGGAGGGGGAGGATGGAGAAGGCCAGACCGAGCGACATGAGAACGGTCGCGACGATGCCCCACCAGTAGTACGCCTTCTTCACTTCGTCGTAGTACGCCTGCTTCCCACCGTCCCAGAAGTAGGTGACGGTGTAGATGATCGAGTGGACGATGGCCTGCGCGGTCGAGACGCGGGCGGCCCAGCGGTGGAAAGTGAGGCACGCGTTCTGCGAGAGCCCGGAGAGCAGGATCAGGGGGTTGAGTCGACCGGCGAAGAGGATGGCGATGCCCAAGTTGGCGAAAGAGAGGACACCAGTGCGATTCGCGACGTAGGTTGCGATCTCATTCTTCTTGGCCGTGAACCACGTGCTCTCAGCGTTCGGTGCGACGGATTTGTAGGGTACGGCGGAAAAGATGATGTTGAGGAGCACGTAGAGAAAGATGAGGAAGGAGAGCAAGCGAGAGGGCGCGTAGCCGAGGTCTGTTTATTATCAGCAGAGGATCCGGGTAGAGAGATGAGGAAAGGAGATGATGGATGGGTGCGTACTGCCTGGGAGGGGGGCTTGATGTCTTCCATTGAAGAGGGCTGGGAGAACCAGATGCTTAGAGACGGCGACGGGGACGAGACGTGCCAGGCCGAATCTCGCGAAGTAACCCACGACCAACGCGATGCCGACGGTCAGGACATAGACGACAATCCTGAACGGGTTAGCGGAGGACGGAGCGGAGAAGGAAGAGAACTCACGAAAGTCGCGCATGCATCGTCTCCTGGTACTCAAACTCGGATCTCGTCTGACGATTGTCGAAGTAGAGCTTGGAGTTCACAAGACTCGTGACATTCAACCACTCCGCATCAGCGTCCAGCTCTGTTGCCGGGCGCTCGGCCGGGAGCACTTCGCTGTATACCGCGTCCGAATTCGACAGCTTGCTGTAGGCTTTGGCAATCCTCTCCTCGCTCACCCCATCGATGGTTCCACACCTGTCTTTCATGCAGTAGGCGAGAGTCTCCTGCCAGACGCGATCGGTGGCGTAGCATTCGTCGGACGTCATTCCCATCATCTCGCTGCCCATATCCATCCGCTTCTTGAGCTTCATGCCAGCCATATCCATACTATCGTGGCTCATAAAAGTCGTACAGTTGAGATAGAGCGAGGACAGGGCATCGCTACAGGCATAGGCGCAGACGGGCTTGTACATGGTGATTCCATAGCCGATGATCCCACCTGCTGAAGCTCCGGCAGTTTGCCAGAGCAGGAGCAGCAGTGAAGGCACTAGGTGATACATTGTCGGAAGTCGGAACTCGCAGAGTGCAGACGGACAGTATCGATGTCAACAACAGCCAGTGTAACTCCCGCTTTGCCAGACGGAGAGGACGCAGCCAACCTTATATGCCAGGAAGAGGGCGGGAACCCTGAATGAGCATATATTTCTCGGGATATATAGTAGTAGTAGTAGTATAGTAGCAGTATAGTAGGTAAGTAGTACTACTGCTACTATATTCTCCATCAGAAAAGCATGATAGAGCTTGTCCGGCGTCTGGGCCCCCAGCTAGTAATACCAATCCCCCTTGGCGGGAGAAGGTGGATGCAGTCGCTATGCAGAAACTCGCTCATATCCACTCGCCGCTGTGCCAGTGACAAGGGACCAAGACCTCGTCTTTGCCAATCGAAAGAGCGGATTTCCAATGAACAGGAGACTCTCGCGGCATTTCGGTGGGAGACAACTACCTCACCTAGGTAGTACCACTTGCGGTTGTTCTTGTGTACGGAGTATATCCAGAGTTCAGTATCCGCCGGCTGCCATCAGCCTTTTCCCACACGTGCGGATGCACCATACAGTTTCGCTTAGACGCAGCCCTGGTGCACTACTGTCCTGACTTCTTATTCCGAGGGGTCGGCCTCGTAATCGATCAGAGTTTTCTCGATATTGAACCTTTCTCGCCAACCTGCGCTTGGAAAAAGAAGGTTAATAAAGAAGGTAAACAAAACAACGGACTTGAATTCTCTCAATCCTGCTTCCTGCTTGTGTGCCGCGCTATCGAGCGCAACCATCGGTCAGTCGCGCTCGCCGGCTGACTCGATCACGGACTAGTATCGACCTCACTGGCGCTCATTCAGCTCTTCGAACGTCGCGAGGAGCTAGCTCGCTAGCTAGAATGCTAGCTCGCTATTGCCGATCAGAGTGACCCAGGTGCCAATAACGAAGAAGACAGAGGTCGCAATCACGCCGAAGGACTTTTGAGTCGTGTCACCGTGTGTCCGTGAGCCCTCCGGGCGCTAGCTATACAGTGCGTACCTAGCACAGCACAGCAAAGATACCCGGACCCGGACCCGGACCCGGACCCGGACCCGGACCCGGACCCAGCTGGCTGGCTCAGCGAAAACAACGTGCTCGCGCCGATAACAACCAATGTGATACATACGGGGTGGAAAGTCGCATCCCCTAATCAGCCACCCGGGCTCTCTCTCACACCACTGTCCACCCTGTGTTTTCGCATAATCCACCATACCGTACCGCTGGCTGGCTGGCTCACCTGCTCACTTGCCCAGGGCCACTTTTGGTCCGCGGCGGATTCCAGAAAGCGGTCGCCACCGGCTTAAGTTTTCCCAACCCAGGTTTCAAACCCAGTAGTAGTTCTAGTTATGAAAAAACCCAATCTCGCTCGTTTGGTCGCGACTTTTTTTTTTTTTTTTAGCACTGGTTT